ATATTTAACACTTTATTTTCTAATCCTTTACATTTTGAGAATTGAAATTACTGGTTTGTTAAATGTTTTGCTGAACAAACCAGAAGGCTGATCACAGCCTTCCCAGTCAGAGATGTTCCCACCTGCCRGTTATGCCAGGGAGGTTCAGTTTCTGCCCTTTGCCTGGGACTCAGAGCTGCCTGTCTTGTCTGCACACTGCTTGGTACTGGGATTTGTGAGAGCTATTCTCCACCTTACCAGGGCAGGGATCACATTGCATTCCAGCACTGAGATGGACATTCCACTATAGCTACTCCATCTGTGTCATGGGAGAARTCCCACTGCATGGCCTGATTGCCCGGGATATTTCATGGCCTGGAAGTGAATTGTCTCTCTTCCTTTGCTGTGTACCAGTGCTTTGTAAGTTTTTGGTTGCAGCAATCTATAATGCTTCTTCTGAATCTGTTACTGGGGCAGTCTAGGCAGCTGTGGCAGATGACCTGTCACATAGATATCAGTGTAATATAGCTGCTTGAAATCAAAAAAAGCAAAAAATTCTTATATTTTGGTATGCAAATGTGAACTTTTCATTATTGGTTCTTGTGAATTTCTTTTTAGTACATCTCCAAAAGAGTACATATTTTGTTTCCCAAAGGAGTGTGCTTGTTTAAAWTGTGAACTGTGATGTGTGGATAATTACTACCAGATGGGCAGTGTTAGCTTATTTGGACACATACTCAACCCATTTTCTGCCATTATTTGCTTTTTTGTGTTTCGTAACTGTTGAAGGACTTGCAGCTCTTAACATGGAGGCAAAACTTGGAAAAGTGATTAGGACTGTTTGACCCCCACACCATGCAGGCAGGGCACRGGGCTCCCAACCAGCATTACTCCACCTGGCCAGGAGCAGGAGTGTGCTGGGAAACCTGGAATGGTGAATCCAGCAAGTTGCACATCCTCTCATAGAAATAATTGCTGTGAAACTTCATGCTCCTGTATCTGTCATCAGCAAAGGTGCTGTGGGATACTTGAGGAATGCCCACATACTCCAGCTTGAGAACWGCTCAGTACCTAAGATCTTGGAGGTATCTCTTGTCTGTCTTTTGTGAGGATTTGATATGGGTGCATAGCCAGGAAGGTTGGTTGCTTGTGCCCTTGGATACAAGWATCTCTCTTGTTCATTCTGGAATGTGGGCTTTTGTAGAGCTTCCTGCTTTTAAAGCAGAGCAATGGAAACTGTTCAGACAGTGATATGTCCTCACCCTTGTTTGTATCTAAAATGACCCTAAGCTGGTCTGTTTGAATCTCAAGCTGTAGCAAAAACAGCTAGTTGCCAGGAAAAATACTCTTAAGCCTGTAATTGGGCTGCATAACTGCCAACAAAACAAACATGAATGACAAATTTCATAATTTATTCCATTCCTGACTTGGTAATTTTTGTCATCTTGAAACGGTTGTGTTCTTTAACCCTCTACYTTGGACCCCACCTTTTCAAGTGTCCTTGCTGTGGGGCATCTCCCTGATGTCTCCCTGAACTTACCAAATTTTCAAAACATGAACGATTTTTAACTGGCTAATTTTTTTTCAGAACAAGAAGCGTACCAGTCTCCTTCGTTATGCTGAGAACTTTTTTGTAGCATTCAATGGCAGAAGTGCACCACCTTAGTATTGCCTGTGGCAAATCTTTTACCCCAAACTCTGTTCTCATTCCTTCCTGTAGCTTCCATGTTTATGGTGGGGAAATGTTTTGTTTAAAGTGCAACCTACTATAGATTGTTTGTAAATAAGAAAAAAATAGGTACCAAATAATCTACCTGATCTTCACACAGATTCATAAACTGTACCAGAAGAAATTGTAAAGGGGTATGAAGATCCATCATGAGTCTCAGACAACTAAATGAGGATGATCCCGTTTGTCAGATTTGTTTGGATAACAATGCTAAAATTGMTTAATCCCGTATGCTTCAACTTGGTTCTGGTCTTTGAATTTCTGGTACTGATTTTCCAACTAGAATCATCAACTAGATGGTTGCTGGATATTCCAGCCCAAAGCTTATGCATAGCTGTCTTTAAATTAAATACTGAAGATAGACCCTTACTGGTTTTGTCAAGTGTTTTTGGTATTTTACTGCATTTAGATTTCAGATTTGGGAAGCTTCCATGTTTTCTTGGGGAAACCCCCATACCTGGAGCTTCAGTTCTCTTAGAACTTAGATAAAAATTTACTAAATTAACTGCTGATCAGTCTGACTGCTACATGGGGCTACTTAGCCATATGAGCAACTTAGTCATCTTATGTTAGGCTGGCTATTTTTTTCTGAATGTATTCATTAGCAGGAGGCAATGATACAAATTTATCTGGATTTCTTAGATTTGTGAAATTAAGAATGGGCAAGCTGAAGATTGAGGCAACATGTTAAAACAACACTCATGAAAAGGGACAGGACTTAGGAGCAGCAAGAAATGTGAAAAAGATTATTAAGACAGTGTTATTCAGTTTTGGTTTGGATTTTTAWGAGTTTGTTTGGATTTTTAACAAGAGTCTCAGCCTCTTGTTAGTCTTTAGTGTATGCTGATTGCATATGCCTGTTCCTCATCAAATTTATTTTAACTGAAAGCAAACACAGAATATGTAGACCATGAAGAAGCCCCTCTGGAAACACTAAACAAAAAATGTTAGTGTGTCTAAAGGGTCTGCAGCATGGTCCAGCCACTAGGGAGCATTTGAAATGTTTTACTGACAGAGTGGGCTGGAAGAGAGCAGGTGGTGTTCCAGTGTGCAAGGATGCAGTTCAAATAACTCACTGCAGCATCCCCATTTTCATCATCAGATGCTGTGTTCGTAGTGGGAACACTGGTGTTGAACAGAGTGAGATGACTCATCTCTCCTTTCTGAGCAGGGAAGCGGGGCAAGTCCTTTCAATAACTGAGCTCTCTGCTCTCCTGAGAATTGACTGTGGAGGGAGAGGYGTGGTTTTCAATCTTAGCCCACTGACACTGTAAAATGCCTCTAAGTGCTTAATATAAAAATGCAACACAGCTACCTAATAGCCCCACCAAAGTGTAAAGTGTCCAAATAACTRTAAAGACTGCTTTAATTGTGTGATTTTAAAGGGAACCTTTCTCATACAAGGTCAAATATATATATATATTTCTAGTAAAGGGCTGGTAGTTTCTTCTATCCAGCCTTTACAGCTGCATAATAATTTCCTAAAACTTGCAAATGCATAKGTGGTATAAAAATTACTCATTTTGATTAGTCTTGTGTCAGGCCTTAATACATGAGTGGGTTTTGGGTGCTCATTCTTTCTAGTTTTTCTGAAGAATGGTGTATTTTGCTCTTAAAAAGTAAAGCTTTATTTGTTCTTCAGGCCTGAAATTAATATTCCCTGTTTTCAGGACAGGGTGCTCTTAAGACATAAGCCTGTGGCCAGGCTGCAGTTAGAGTGACCAAAGGCAAAGGGAGAATTTGCTATAAAGGTGAGGTTTTCCCTGGGGAGAACCAGATGTAGGTGTGGCTCGACCAGTCTGCAAATTCATCTACTGCGCTCAGTTGTGGATGAGTCTGTGTGATTTTTTGGCCAGTGTTTTCCTTTCTTTTTCTCCCTAATGTATTCTAGCTAAAAAAAAAAAAGGCATGCAAAGTGAGTTTCAAGCTCTTTGCGTGCACCGGGGCTATGAATATAAGCCCAGGCATTGACAGCAGCAAATCTGTTGTGTCTGTGGCTCTCCCATTCAGCTAAGGCCTCCYGTGGCTTATTTTTGCATCACAAATTAAGTGTGAAAGCGGCGTACAGCAAGCTCGAAACAGCTAGAAATAAGGTGGGTTATCTGCAAAGAAGGGCAGTGTTCCCTGAGTGTTCCTGGCTGCCGTCGGAGCAAGTGGGGATCGATCGATCTAATGTCTGGGCTCGCCTTTCATAAAAGAAGGGCTGTGGCTTTAAGCAATCGCTGGCTGCTTGTGCCAATTGCAGAAGCTGCAGTATCTGCCGCTGTCGGAGCGCTGGGCGCGGAAGCAGGATAACCTGCGGAGGCAAGGTCCAGCCTTGACACTCGGCCCGGCCAGACCTGCCCGGCTCGGCGGTGCCGCCGCCGCCTGCGCGTCGCCGATGAGGGTCGGGGGGCCGAGCGAGGGGCTGCCGGCGCTGGAAGATGGGCTGCTCTAGCAGCAAGCTGTGCCTCTATTCTCAGTGTGCTGCAGCAAGGGTAATGAGTGCTTGTTTCACAGGGAGCCGGCCGGGAGCGAGGTGAAGCGCCCTGCCCTGCCAGCAGGGCATGCGGACCTTGTCACCCCCGCGCTGGTGTGAGGTGGCGGCCCCGGGCCACGGAGCCGCTCTGCCGTGGCGGTGCCCACGGCGCTCCATGGGCTGCGGCTCCGGGGCACAGCGGCCTGGCCGGCTGCCTCCTCCTGGCYAGGGCACAGCTCCTGAAAACAGGGAGATGCGTGCTTCTGCTTTGTTGTGATCTGCTCACAGATTCCTTATGATTCTGTCGGTGTAAGAAACACCATCTATCTTAACATTAAGAACTGCGAGCAGCAGGGTGGATTGTATTCAACTTTGAACAGGGCTGTGCCTTTTATTCAGAGAAGACTGAGCATTTAGCAAAGTTCTTGATTTTGTGTTTGAGTAAKCTTAAGATAAATATTTAATGCATGCCTCTTTCACATATACGCTATACTTCTGTGCCCTTGACAGCTATCAGTTGATTTGTACTGGAGGCTTATGTTGCTACACCYACCATAAAATATATAATTAATTACTACAAAGTAGGGTTTTAATTGCAGAGCTATCCTGGAAAAAGCTGTTCTTTGTTTTAAAGTGTAACTTCCTTAACAACAGAAGAACATCTGTGTATATTGTAACAGCTGAACTGTTATCCTAAATGATTCATATCTTGGCTTCTTGCTCTTGCCTCTTGTTTTTCCTACAGAGCACATGTAAGTTAATTATTGGAAGGTGCCCTGCTCAGATCACTAGTAACCAAACGTTTGGGGGGTTTTGTTGTTCTTTTCTCTGCAGAGAGAGGAAGCACTGAAGCAGCGTAAAGCRTTATCTCAAGAACTAATTAACCTTCGAGGTGAACTAGGTAAGAATTTATTTTTATATTCTTCATGAGAACAGAAACACAGCAAAACAGGTCTGCAGAAGACAGATGCCCTGGTATTGTAATGGCAGTCATTYAATTCCCTGGCTGAATTCCGCTCAGATGATGGAAGTGCTGCGGAGCCCTGACGACGTGACCCCAGGTTCACCGAATTCCTGGCACTGATCTGASTGCGCCTTGCGGGGCCTCCTTGCAAAACATGCGCCTGATGACCAAAGCACTCACTTCTGAAAAATGGGAGGATGGGTGACAGCATAGATACTTTTGTTTGATCCCTAACTTAYTTGTACACTATCTTCTAGAGATTCGCTGGCAAAAAAATCTTAAACCTCTAAAACATACTATGCAAAATCTGCATTTTTGTCTTAGTGACTTGTAGGTGAATGAGTGTAAAATTAACAGACGGAAATGCTTTCAGGCTGATGAGATTGAATCTTTGAACTCATCCTAGTGGCCAGCTATAATAAGAAATTGAGCTATAATTTGCAGGGGCTGGTTTTGCCTGCTTTGAAGCTTGATTTAACTAAATTAGGTGGTAACTCCACGTAATGTATTTGAACTTTGCAGTTGTTCCAGGCAGGTCTCAGTAGGGGCTGGCTTTTTAAAAGCCTGGCCTTCCTCTGCCTTTGCTTCCCCCTATCCTTGTGCCAGCATTGCTGCCTGGGCAGCCATGCCTTCAGCAATGCAGTGAGCTGCCTGGGGACCTAAGCCAGCTGAAATTAGTGGCTTSAAGCGCTGTTTTGCCAAAGCTGCCTGGCCTGGCTCAGTATGTGACYGAAGTAGYACTGGGACTGSAGTAGAGAAAGGGGAAGTAGTAGYAGGGTGAAGGGTCATGTCCCCCATCGGCTGCAGCTGATGCTTCTATTAACCCTAAAGTGACAACAGAACTAGAGTTTTAATGTGGAAATGGCCTTCTTGCATTGCTATAAAGTTATGTTATAAACATTATAATCCAGATTTATTTATGTACTTAATGTGGCTTTGTGAGCAATCCCATTTTTTACCTCATCAAGAAAATGACTTCAGAAGAATTGCTATCAGAGCAAGAAAGTCTCTTTTCTTCCCTTGRCTTGCATCTACAATACTATTTTTTCCCTTATCAGCCTAAGTACTATATTCATCTCCTATCTGGAAAGGGAATTTTCTGCTTGGATGAGTAGACCAAGAGCTGGCCAACATTTTTGCCCATTGTCAGTTTTGGGGGTTTTGGTGGAGTTTGGGGTTTTTTTTGAAAGCTTAGTTCTTTGTAAAGATGCCTCATGCCTAAATGAGCTCTCCATAAACTTGTTACTTTCCTGCTTTGATTAACAGCTTGCTGAGCTCCTATATGAAACTCCCATTGCAAGAATATGTCATTCAGTAGGTTGGTAACTAGAAAAAAACTTGAAATGCAAGCATACCTGATGGATCTGTGACTTCCGAGTGCGCAGTGCTCTCAGACAGGGATGCTTGCTGCTGGATGACATGGTCAGCTCTTCCCCTCACGGAGCTGATCTTACTGGGTCACTTCTGAAGGAGCATCTGAATGGCAGCCTGGGGCTCGCTTCCCTYTGTAAGGTTTCCAGACTGTGGTTTCAGTGAAGCATTTCTCTTCATGCAGCTCCTTTGTCTTAAGCACATCACACTGTAGCCTCTCTAGTACTGTCTGTACTGCTCTCCTCAGCATGTAAAGGGAGTGGATTTAATTACAGAAATGTAAAACTACCCAGATTTCAAATCTATCTAGCTTTAAAAAGAACTGTTTTGTTGGAGTTTTTTTTAAGTTAAATTAATTTGTTGACAAGATGTGAGAAAGGTATTGTTATAATAGTAGCTTTAACTGAAAATAATCTGCTTAAATACATACTTGCTAATCAGCTTTCTGTTGACACTGTTAAATGGATATAGCTGAACTTAAGATTTCCATAGTCTTTCGGCATTAAGTGCTGTGAATTTTGATTCACATTATGATCTAAGCGTAGGTTTGCTCGGAAAGTTAAGTACAGTTTGAATTTTATTTTGGCCATGTAGACATGTTCTGTGGAGTCTCAGCTGCCGTGTTTTTAATAAGCGTTGGTTTGCAGTTTGGGGACAGGCAGTCTCAGAAGAGGAACCTGGTGTGCCCAGCTCAGTGTAGCCTGTTCCCTGCAAGTTGTCGAGTTTGAGAGAAATATGAAGTCTCCTGTAGCTTGTACCCTGCACAGTTTAGACTTCTCTGTTTCTTGCTTTTAAGTTTAATTGTGCACATTCCCAAGCTCCTTGATTCACCATGCAAAACCAAATGGACTTGCTGTCAGAAGGTTTGTTTTGCTGAGTTATTGCGTATGACCCTTTCTACCAAAATGCCTTTTTGTTTAATGATTTGAGTATGCATTCTGGTCCCAAAATGTGTCTTTGGCAGCCACCGCATTACTGTGCCAGCCATGGGGCTGATGGTTACCAGACACTGCTTTCTGCTTTCTTGTGCAAGGRTTAGCAATGAGAGGTGTTTGGGGATGGGGTTCTCCCAAGGAAGTTCAAATTCAGTAACAGTTGGGTTCTAAACTTGGGCTTCCTTAAAATCTCTATCTACAAAGACTAAACTTTGTGGTTCGAATGTAAACACCTTAATTCTGGGAGCCTGGAGCAGGCAGGGATCTCCTGCTTGTCACCTGTTTCCCTTCTTAAGATGCAAGCTAGTGTGTAAACTTCTAGTTATGTGTTTAATTACGTAAGTAGAAATTGCAGGGACTGCATATCTTGAGATATACAAAACTATTCCTCTAAATTAATTACACTCCAAATTGTTTCAGAGCCTCCTCGCAACCATGCTGGATGTGATCCAGCCCAGTCCTGCTACAAAACAGCAGGTGCAAAGCTGACTCAGCCTGTGCCTGCCTTGGCCATTTGAACACCACCATTCATGAGCCTTTCTCYGTGGCCTGGAGAGGCCTGTGTGTAGTGTGTATCCTGTCAGGCAGCCAAAGACCAAACCCATCTCTCTGTCTCTCACCTCCAGTTGCTGCATGGCAATTGATAAACTATATTCTCTTCAAAATGCTTTCATGTTCTTTTTTAATATTAAATTATCTTCAAGATGCTTTGGTGGTTTGGATAGAACAGGCTGTYGTRTTTTACAGACAGGTGAAGTGAATGTGATTCGGTTTTCAGRTTAAKGTGATCCTTAAAARTACTTAATAATAGGTRGATGTTTCTCTTGAGACAGGGCCTMACTWGACACACTTCATACACTTCCTGCTTCCCTGCTTGAACACCGTCACTTGTAGAGTTTGCAGCATAGGGGGTGTGAATTTACTTCCCAGCAGACTTCTGTGGTCCTCTCCTTCAGCTGCAGCAACTGTTGATGTGGTTTGGATCTGCTGCTGTCCRCACTATTGCAGGAATCTGCTGCTCATGCAGGCATTTGTTTTACAGTTTTGGCACTTAAAAAGCTTAGTAGTGAAATACTCAAGATGCAAGTGGCCATTGTTAGCTACTACAAATAAAGGGTAATTTTATATCTMAAAACCAGCATTTCTGCTTTGAAGATTTGCTGTTACCAAAACTTTCCATGATTTCCAAAGGTCATAGTTTGGCCCAAAAGAACCAGGCTCTTCATTTATCATAAGCAGTGTTAAGAAGCCTAAAAATACAGATTAATCTTGTTTTGTGTTGTAACAATACATGAAAAAACAGTTGTATGAAGTGAAGGGAAGAGAGGCTGGGACAACCAAGTAGACAAAAAGTATTAATGACTCTGTTATTTGAATAAAGAAKTAAAAATTGCTTCTGGCTGCCAAGTACAGCATTCCATATGCTCTATCCTTAAAACTTAAAACTGTTTAGTGTTACAAGTAAAACTGAACAAACTTCATAGACAAATGAATAATGCAGGTTTTCATCTCTATGGCTTGATTTTTTTCCCTGAAATGCTATTGGACCATTTGTTTCCTGTTGTGTTTTGTTCCTCAAGAATTTGTGGAATTGTGGAGGAAATCACTTCAAGAAGGAAACACTGCAGTAGTGTACAAAAACTCTAAAGTATGCACTTCAGATGTCTCTGAAGTGGTGAGAAGTTAAAATAGAGATTTGTGTGTTTGCTACTGGAAGAGCAYATGTTCCAATTACAAATTTTTCCTCACAGTTAAGCATCAGTTCAATGAGAAGACACTTCAGTTGAGTAGCAGTTGAGTGTGGTTAGTCAGTGGCTATATGGCCAAATTAAGGGACAAATCATGAAAAAGACAACTTTCTTAAAAAAGGCAGAACAGTCATGATGCAACTTGATTCAGTCTGGAGATGGATAGGGGTGTGTTGCTGTGGACATTTTCAATCTCCAGTATTTAGACAAACTTTGGTTTATGGGACACCTCATAGTTACAAATTAACAATTCTCCAGTTGCTGCTTTTGCTGAAGCCTTATATGGTCAGTTTCTTGCATCACCATGATACTGGGAGCTCACTATGTAGTAGTTTTGCTTCTTGTTTGGATGGCAGGGATTCAAATCAGGCTTGTGATCTGCTAGGAAATATTGCAGCCTTCAGCTTTGTCGAAGCTAGTTACCTTCAAGTTAACAACATTTAACTGCCAGTGCAAGTTTTAAAAGTTTTTTGTTTGCCTTTGTAACATTAGTCTTCTCATAAATCTGAATTGCAAACTGCCTGAAGGGGAACTGATGCGTCTGTTTTCTTTGACAAAGGCATGGTTTGCTGTTTGCTCTTTTCTGAAGTGCTTTGCATCATCTGAAGTTCTTCGTGCTGACATTTAAAGATAAGGCAAGGATAGGTAGCACATTCTTCTGACTAACTGAAGGCAAAGTAATTGCTCCGGCTTGCAAATGAGGAATTTGATGCTTGCTTCTTCCTGTCTTGGTTTTAAATKAAGTGCATCATTTGAAGCATTTTGCTACAGTTACCTCAGCTGAGCCATGCAAGTCTCCTGCCTYTGAGCTATGCCCTTACTCTGCCATGGAAGGTCAGATCCATCTGCATGTGGTTGACTGTGTAATGCCTCCATTTGGCTTGCTGCCTGGTTCTTTGCATTATAAAATAATGTCCCCTAACAATGATGTTTCCTGTTCCTCAAAAATGTGGCAATACAGWGTATATATATTCAATGATTTTATGCCACTGCGATGTGATGGAAGTGTGAACACTGATTTTCCTTTATTTTTTTTTTCCCAAAGGGAGCAGTTGTAAGATAAGTTTGTGGAAGGAATAAAGATAGGAAAGTAAAAATTTCTCTTGGTGGTAGTWCAGAAAGTATCAAAAATTGTGAAATCTGCTTGGGTTGCAGAGAATGTTGTGGTAGGTTTCAGATGAGCCTCTGTTGCATCGTTGCCAGTCAGGGAATGAAGAGCTTGGCCTAAATCTGTCCAGATCAGCAAATCTTTCATACAGACCCAGCACAGCTAAACTTGCTGTTAAGCCTAATTCAGTAGACACACGTGCAGATTGATTTCCATGCAGTGCAGCTCACTCTATTAACACTTTCTAGTTCCACTTCAGGTTCCAAGTGATGGTAGCAGGGCCAAGACTCTACAGTTCCCTCAGAAGAGAGTGCAAGTATCATTCATCAAGTTACTCACATGCTTTTAATGAGCTGCAGCAAAGAAGAACAAGACACGTGTAACTTGAGGCACTCTGCTGGGGCAGGCTGCTTTCCCTTGAGCTAATTGACTGCTCTGGGAACAATCTTTGAAGATACTGTAATTTATTTATCTTAAGGTTCAAACACAGCTGTGATGGGAATTTCCTGTACTGCCTGTACAAAAATCCTTGACTCTTCCCATGCTTTTACATGAGTTTATATTTACACTGTTTGGACTGTGTGCCAGCCTGCTGTGAAGTGCATGCATGCATAACTTCTGCCTTTGAAGATCAAGTTAACATTTTAGTTGATTTTTCTCTTAAGCAGCCACCCATCTGACTAATTTGTTTTAAACCAGCCTWCTAGAGTCTGTCTAGAACCAGTTTTGCTCAAGGTCAGTGATRACATACTTGTGTTAGAGATGCTGTTTCACCTTGCTTCCAGGCTTTGGGTGCAGCTGGAACTGCATAAARTGTTTGCTACAGCCATATTAAGAGCAGGAAGGTGACTGCTCCTATTCAAGCCTGGCTGGCTGGAGTTTGKAATACTAAATTTCAAACTCAAAAATGCAAGTTGCTAACTTACGTTTTGTCTTTTAACCAGCTGCAAATACGGAGAGACAAACCTAGGCAGTCTTCATAGCAGACCTGTGTTAATGCAGATGTAGAGAGAATTGYACAACATTTCTTTTCTTAATACTCTGCACTTTTTGCCTAAAACTGTTCTCTGTCTTTCATATTTAAATATCTCAGGCATAAACACATGAGCAGTACCTTTCAAACTGGCGTATCTGTATCAGGCTGTCTGTGTCAGGCTAAAATTGCTTCTCTGCTTTATATCTGAGTGAGAGTCATTAAACTATAGTTTTCAGGATATCAAGACTTCTAAATTTATTTTTAAATAGTTYATATGTCAAAAAGTGAAGTACTCTGACAAATATTCTGAAATGGGWTCAAATAAGGTGAAGTAGCAAAATGCAATTAATTTTTTTATTGGASCACTTCATTGTCTCTCCTGAGACATTCCTTTTTCCATGACATGTCAATCTTGTCACACTTGTGCTTTCTAGGTGRGTTCCTGTCTTAACTAGTTCAATTAATTCTATACCTAAGAAACATGGAATTTGATACTTTTGTAAAGAGCTTTTCATGAGCCCTTGGAGGTGGCACGCATTTCATGGATAAATCATATTTTTTTTTATATATAACTATGTTGGTGTGCAGTATGTTCACTGTTTTTAATACCTGTAAATGAAAGTGTGATTTTTGTATTGAATTTGATTAAGTTCCTTTTTTCTCTCTTTTTCTTTTTTTTTTCTTTTTTCTTTTGACATCTTCAGTAACCACTTCTGCAGCTTGTGAGAAATTGGAAAGAGACAGGAATGAACTGCAAGTTGCTTATGAAGGGTTTTTGCAGAAGTTAAAACAGCAACATAATGATGACGTAGCTGAGCTGGAGGAGAGGCTTAAACAGTTTTACACTGCAGAATGTGAGAAACTACAAAGTATCTGCATTGAGGAAGCTGAAAAGTACAAAGCCCAACTCCAGGAGCAGGTTTGTGACACTCAAACTAGAAAACTTCTCCAGCAGGTGCTTTCTGCTACAARTGAGCCTTCAGAGAATCCTGGGTTTTGCTCATGAGTTATTTTATTTAATATGAAACTCCACTTTATTGCAGTTGGAAAAATACTACTACACTAAGCTGTAGTACATTGTAAGTACTACAGATTGTAAGCTTATGTTTAAATGTGGTGTTTAAATYGCTTGTGTTCTTCCAGCCTAAATAACTCCTAGAGCTCCATGGGGTATTTGAGGCAGCTTGAGTTTTAAGATTCAGAGAAACTCACCTGCCCTCTGACCTTGCTTTGCAACAGCTCCCTGTGTGTGACAGATGCACACATCATCCTGTTGGTAGGGGTAAACTGTAGGACATCGTTCTCATTTATGAAGTCTTGTACATGGCTTAGCGTCTCCTTTTAAATCCTACCAGACCATTTAAAATGTACTTGACATGGTGCATGAAGCCAGTGAAGCAATGCTTTAAAAAAGGGTTAAGTTGGTACATATAAAGGGAGAAAAATCATGTTGTCATATTGCAGGTGGACAATTTAAACACCACACATGAAAGCTTTAAGCTGGAACTCGAAAACAGACACTCAGAAAAAGTAGAGGAGCTGAAAAAGGAGTATGAATCCTCTTTTTCAGGCAAGTATTTTGTATTTTAGTACATGTGCTATAATACTGTTAGTCACAAAAATATATAGACTTTTTGATCATTAAGTCCACTGTTCTTGGTGGCCGGCTATCTTTAAAAACACTGGGGGAATTCCTTCCTTTGGAACTGACTGATCTTATTTTACAGCAGTAACCACGATCCCATTGTAGTTGAATTAAACTTTTAAAAGTGTGAGTGGAAGTGAATTTTTCATGCAGTAAAAGGTGTCTAAATTGCCCTCAAAATCTCAAGTGACCGARTAATTCCTTCCACCCCTAGTTCTGTAAGAAGCACCTCAAAATTGAAAATGAGGCTAAGTAGGGTTGTGTGCTTTCCATAATGACATGGAAATGTTGAGAAATATTATACARTGTGTACAGTACACTATGGCCGAGGTGGTTTTTCAGAGAGGGGGTGGTGAGTGTGCTCAGGTTTAAATGACATTGCATCATGATGATGATTTCCATCCTCCTTCTAACTCCCCTTAATAGCCAAGTTTCCAGTGGTACTSTTTTGTCTTGAAGACTGGTCATGCTTTCATTGCTTTCAAAAAGCAAACTCCTCTGCATGGCAGGCAAAGTAGGAAAAGAAATACTTTTCCAGAARTTTGTGGAAGACACAATTTCAAATTTTGCTGTGTTTTCCTCCAGAAACTCAACTTTTGTCAGATGTGGCGTATGCTTAACAGATCCATTTGTTGCATGCAGATGAATGCTCTCAAAACTGACGCACTGTCTGCTAATGAAATGGATATATGAGGGGGCAATTAGCAAATCTGAAATGGSAATAAATCTGATACTTCATACATGCTTTGCATCAGTTGATGATAAATATTCTTTCTGTGATCCATCAGCTGCATCTGTGAATGTACATGTAGGCTGGCTTTTCAGGCTCTTTCTTTTAAAAAAGAAATTTCATGTCTTATRTGGTATTAAAAATCTGCAAAAATAATTTGTTTTAGAGCTCAAGAGCACCCATGAATCTGAAAGGAAGTTGCTTGAAGATTCCTTTAAAGAGAAGCAGGAATTGCTGGAGGTTTGTTAAGGGTTGGGGTCATTGCAATAGATTAAAACTTGAAAAGTAGTTTGGAGATGTGCACTGAATTCTTGGCCTAACTATACAATATATTTGCATTCCAGAAAAAAATAGATGAACTAAAAAGTGAAAACAATTCCCTGAGTGAGAAGCTGAAATTAGAAGAACAAAAACAAATAGCCAAAGAAAATGCCAATCTTGTAAGTCTTGAGCTTCAGAAATAATGGGGATCTTGCCTGGGTTTATTTTACTGCATAATGAGAAAAGTTTGCAATGAAGCCTGATAGGGCTGTCATACTTGGTAATAATTTTTGTAAATGGCTCACTTGCCAGCAGTTCTTCACAACCACTGTAATGCTGCATTTTAACCTTACCATCATAATTCTATAACCCTTCTAAATCAGCGTTGTAAATATCAACCTAAGTTAAATTGAAGGCCTGTGTGTATGCAGGAGTTGTACCACAGCATTTTTCTGGACAGTCGATAACTTGTACCAGTGCTGTGATCAGCGTGGGCTTGCATCACTACTACAAAGCTCATTCCTAATGCATTTCTTGACACACATATGCATACTTCTTACTGATTTATCCTTCAAATTAATTTTTATTTTGTCCTGCCTTTCCTCCCAAGGCTGCTGTTACCTGTKATGTTCCTGGGATAGAAATGTGCTCTGAGAGAGGGTTTTTTCATACACTGGGAGGRTTAGATGCAAACATGCTTTTCTTTCTGGTTACCCAGAAGTAAGTGGAATAGCAGTAGTACTGCTTATTCCACAAAGAGAAATTCCATGCTTAGGATGCCTCTAGTGGAAGTTGCTCTAATTTTCACTGGAATTTGTTTTGGTTTTTCTTTCTCTTATTGCTTTTTCTAGTGGCAGGACAAAGCTGCCACAAGAAGCAAYCACAATATGTTGCTGTGGCAGTGGAAGTTTGAACTGTGTTCTACAGGCACAGWCAGATGTTGCTTAAAGGAATAGTCAARTGCCTTTACACAGCTGCAAGTGCAYTTTGTGCCTTCCTGACAGCGTAAGATGCRTGATAAGCTTGGGACTTTGGAARAGCACCAGTTTGATTYGGCATATTCTTCACTACTAAATAAAAATTCTGCACTATCAGAATTCTCAACAGCCTTTAGAAGACAGAGATTATTTCCAGCTCTCTGATATCATTTAGATCGTGTCACTTGATATTTCCAGTTTTTTTGCTAAAAACTTATGTAGGCTGTTCAGTCTTTATTTGGCTGTGTGTGCTCTTCCTATGAGTATTTGATGTGGGGGCTCAGACTTAACTTTAAAAAGACATTTTAAGACCATTGGGCTAGAAGAGGGACAGAAAATAAACTGAATATTGAACTATAAGCTGCATTTAAACTTCTGAAGATTACTTTTCTGGTTAGCTCCTAGATTCCATGTAAAGTCACAAAAACGAGGAACAAATTGTCTGCTGCCTTCACTGAGGCAGCACAGCATGCTCCACCCTCGCATGGACTTCTCAAAAGAAGTTAAACAAGAACCATTAATGCAACAGGCCTGCAAAACAAGCAGGAGAATGAAGTGTGTAGGTGATGGAGCCCTTGCTGCCTGTGACACGCACTGGCCCTGTCCTGGCACCGCGCCCCACAAAACTGCAGGCATGGCCCTCCTGTCCAACGCTTCTGGTGTGGCRGTGAAGCTGTTACTCAGTGCGGTGCACCTGTGTTCTCACACAAACACACTAAAACAAGTTTTGTTYGATTTTGAAGATAAACTTAGTTACACAATACGCTTAATCATTGATTGATTTCAGCTTGTGTTCCACTCTGACTACGTGGGACTAAGACTTGCTTTATTTCTCTTTTATTTTGGCTGTGACTGTCTTGAAATGCAGAGAACGTGTTTTACTCTGCAATGTTTGAATGGTTTCTTAGTCTGGAAAATACACACATCTTACCCTGCTCTCTCTCCCTCCTGCTGTCCCCTCCACCTCCCAGAAAACAACARAAAAAGTAAAAATAAAAAGTCCTAGCTTGATATATTGGAGATAAGTCATGGATGTGCAGCAGTGCAAGATTTGTATGTGTAATTGTATTTTTAGACTTYAGAAGAATGTAAAACTGAAAATTTTCAAATTTTGCTTAAGAGCCAGCTACCTTCAGACTCAAASCTGGGAAGATAAACTACAGTCTAGTTCAGAACTTAAACTTCTGGTGCTTTTTTTAACTATTCCAGTGTCCGAAAACTCTTCACATGTTTACTCCAATTATCTCTTGGGATGGGTTATGACTAATATGAAATAAATTTTGAAACTCCTAGCCTAAGGGCCTTTGGGCACTCCTGCGAAACAACTTTGCTGTGACAGCATTTGTGCCTTCCTTTGATTCACAAGGGTTTTATGTCTGTGCATTAAGTGYTTTCTGAACAGCTGCTAATGAAACAATTGCAACTGTCCACCTCGCCCAAAGGACAAACAAAATCTGAGAGAAAGTGGTATCAGATCTTGTTATTTATTSTAGAGTGTTTGACTTGATTTCACTTAGAACAACTTGTTACCATAATTATATTCTTGTTTTTTTTCTAAGTAGCAGAGAAACATCTAAACTGTTCCTGAAATTCAGGGTACTAAGCAAACTCTCTGGAAATCTTTCAGAAAAACCCACAGATTATGTACCTGGAACAGGAGCTGGAAAGTTTGAAAGCAGTGCTGGAGATCAAGAATGAGAAACTCCATCAGCAGGACATAAAGCTAATGAAGATGGAAAAGCTGGTGAGTGCTCCTTGGGGTTTGGCAGGTTGGGGCTGTGTCTCTGACTTATGTTCCTATAACAAATGTGGGCTGGCCCAACTTACGTGCAAGAATTCATCTTTTTTGTTTAAAGGGAAACAGGAATTCATGATGGGACATRGCTCACATTGCAGGTACAGCATTGGGATATATGTCAAGAGGGGTGAAGAATGGCCCAATGCTCTAAATGACCTTTTAACCTTTGAAGACATAAGAGGTTTGCATGAACTATTGTTAAGTTAGTACAGGATTATCTTAGCACCTTGCCTTTCTTCTCCCTCATCCCCCAAAGAACAAAATCCTTACCTGCTACATTGCTCAAGTGGTATGGAAGAAAGATTGCAGCATCAGGAAAACATTAGCAAGGCAATGATCCTAATTTAACAAGAAGGGATCAAATGTGAAATGGAATAGATCTTGATTACCTTAGACCAATCATTTTAACTGCTAAGATGCTGGTTTAGCTGAGTGGCKGTGCTCCAGCATGCTTTTATTTGTGACAGGACAGGGTGCTTCTCCTGGGTGGGGCCTTTGAACACTGTTGTAATATTTGCTTAAGCAAGATTTTAATGAGGAAGTATAGAAAGAGGTTTGGACACAAAGGAACACATTCATGTCAGTTGTTGCTCAGTRTTGTGCAGCAGTGTATGTTACCCTGGTCTACAATTACTGCTAAATTACTAGCAAGCCTTCATCTCCAGCTGCCGTTGGCAATAGTGTAGAAGCCCCAGAACCGTCCAGCCACTTACCAAGTTTTTCCTTTATTTTTATAACATCCTCCAGCAATGAAGTAGAATTAGGAGAGCAATAGAGAAAGCTGTTTACTCAGGGGAGCTCTAGAATTATTTCTAGACATTATTCTGTCTAGAAAGATGCTTCAGCAKCTAAAACTGCTGCCTGTCACTGGCAGAAGTTACTGGAATGTGCTGGTTAACAGTAGATCCCTTATCCAGTCCTTGTAGGCATCTAATCAGCACAAGTGGCAAAGTGCCAGTGTTAAGTGCAAGGATAAGGTAAGCAGGATCTATGTGCCTGTTACAGAACATTAAGCCATGGCAGCAGGTCAGTCTGATGTTACTGCAGGTTTTTCTGTCTACTGTAAAAAGTAGATAGAATTGGCAATCTGCTGGCTCCAGATTGCCAGCATGGTAGCTGTGATAGCTGTCAGTCTGTGATAGCTCAGTCAGTATCCTGGTAAGTGCATGGATGGGTTTTATTTTCAATTGTGACCTTCTTTCCAAGGTGGAAAACAACACAATCTTAATGGATAAATTAAAGAAGGTTCAGCAAGAAAACGAAGAATTAAAAGCTCGGATGGACAAACACATGGAGCTTTCAAGGTGAAAAAYATTTGTGGATGTTTAGATATGCCTTATTAATCAGGGGATGCTTTCCTGTGACAAAAAGGAAAATTCTSCTGAAAAATTGGTGAATGCAATTTTGTAGTACTCTGTGAAAGGACTTTCCATTTCTTCTCACTTACATCTCTACAAATGCACACTTCTTTGTAGATTAGCAAGAACAAACATATTGAATGGGAGTAAAGGCTCAGTATGTTCTTCAGTACTCCAAACCAATATTTTAGGGAAGAAAAAGCAACTCAGAAATACCATCATACAAAGGTTGTCCCTTTTAAGTACTACTGGCTTGTAAGTTAGACCTGGGTCMTACTTACAACCCCTTCAGTGAGTGATTTGTCCTCAATTTAGGTCAGTGTGTTTTGTTTAGCAATAACTGTAGTATCTACCATGAATAAAACACGTCTGAGGTCCTCCTAAGTGTTGCTTAAATAGATGGCCAGACTCTTCCAGAAGGAATCTGCAGCTTCTATGCTGAGCTGAGTCTGCAACAAGACCCAAAGGCTCCAGCAGAGCCATTTAAAAGCATCTGTCATTTTAAGTAGGACAAACTTCACTTTTCAGATGCTTTTTCTGGYCTTGTGGGATGTTTCTTACTGGGAAATTCTGCTTTCTGCAAGCTACCAGTTTAAATACAGCAAGGATGAGAACATGCTAAATCCTCCTATTAAAGATGGAATTGAGTTGTGAGCCAACCAAGAGTTAATGCACTTTGGGACCTTTCTTTAACGGTGTCARTATTGCAGCCTCCAGCCTGGGTTATGTGTTCTGATGTAAATCTTCCATTTTCAGGCAACTTTCTACAGAGCAAGCAGTTTTACAGGAGTCACTAGAGAAAGAATCAAAAGTGAACAAACGCCTGTCAATGGAAAATGAAGAACTTTTGTGGAAGTTGCACAATGGTGACCTATGCAGCCCAAGAAAACTGTCTCCCAGTTCTTCATCCGTGCCTCTTCAGTCCCCACGAAATTCTGGTAACTTCTCTAGTCCTGCAGTGTCACCGAGATGACATCTCTTGAGACAAAGAGGGGCCTGCATCTCATTTCTGATCTGCAGAACCTTTCCTAACTAATCACAGGAGCAAGAGCTATATTAGCCGCCTATGACAACTAAACATAACTGGAAACTATTTGGTGCAAAAATGGCGATAGGAGACTGTGAATATGGGAGTAAGACATTCACTCCTCCCCARAAGACTTATGACCTCTATGGACATCGTTGCACAAAGCACTTACAGAGCAAGGAAAGACTTGTTCGTTGCCTTTTCACCTAACCATAAGAAGTAGCTCAGGGGCTTAAAGATCACAACCTTTATAGTATGTTCCTTATCACCGACACTTTTTTAAGGCTGTGTGTGTGAGTATGTGCGTGTGCTGTGGATGGAATGGGTGTAACACACTGTGTGTGTGTCTAATGCTGCCTTCTTTGCTGTGTACGTAATAAAGGATAAAAGCTGAAGACTATACATTGACATGTACTTCCTTGATACTGCTCTCAGTATGCATGCTTAGCCGAGTACCCTTGCCTGGCAATGAGGAGAAACTGCCACTAGTACTGTAGGTTAGTTTCCTTCATCTTTCTGGCTTTGGTTTGGTAAAAAAAATGGCATGAAGAGCTTTGTCAACTGACTCATTACTGTCTTGGCCAACCTGAGTATGCAACTTTGAATTAATTTTAAAAACAAATTGAATTGCAGCCGTATTTTGCATGGGTTCTTGGTTTCATGTCCATGCACAACTCTGCTATTTGTGAGGAGACTTTTTTTGCAGGGTACAATGGATTTTGGGTTTCAAGTCAATAGGGTTGTAGTCAGAACCACAGTAGCCCTCAAGGTCAGAAGTTCTTAGTTGAGTTGCAGGTTTAGAAGCCTAGACCTAGCATCTTACCTGCTGAAAAGGAAGCACTAATTTCCCCAAAATAGCATGCCTGTTCCTGAGRATAAACTAGATGTAGATTTGAAAGCCAAAGACAAAAATGCAATAATTGTAACTAGGTGCATTCTTTACTCAGTTCTCAAGAAGATTAAGTAATTTGTGAATTCCAGTGTAGCTGGTGACACTCTTTGCCYTTTTAAGCATTAGCATTTGTATTAACATTCCTCAGAGTTGGAGGAATTCACCTGAGGAACAGGGTAATTTCACCTGAGGAAGAGGAAAAAGGTGGTAACTGTGTATTTTGTCTTGCTAATTCTGGCATACCTTCCCTCTTAGACTGCAGGACATTGGTGTTTTGATAATTCAGCTGGTGAAAAATCCTGTACAAGAGATTCTGTAGAGTAGGGGAAAAAAATTGTCCTGGCTGCTAGAAGTGGAGYATGAGGGTGTCACCATTTCTGGCAATGTCACATGCTGAGCTTCAGCTTCAACAAGGTAATTGTATAGCTTTGCTCCACCCTTAATCAGACCTATTTAAGATGTCTGCTTTGTACCTGCTAAACCACGTTCAGCTTCAGATTAGTCTTAGAAAACACTACTCTTGCTTACAGTAGCTTGGGTTTCGCAGTAGGGCCAGGACCATTRTTTCACTTCTGGTTAGCTAATGTTGGTAGCTGGCTGAGTTTCCCTGTATTTTTCAGTAGCCTGGGGACAGGAATCAAGGCCATGGGAAAGCATTTAGGAAACTCAACTGGAGAACCACTTCAAACCATTTTACCTAAGACTTGCAAAATCTTGGCTAGTAATGAGGAACACAGACATAGAAACAAGACTGTTAACAGTGCTCACACAGTAAGTAAATTTGTAATATATTTAAACTTGCGATTGACTGTTAAATCATTAAATTTACTTAAATTTACTCTCATAATGTAAAAGTTAAGGGTGCCATTTCTATGGAATATTATGCTTTCTTTTAATCCTTTTTAGGGCAGTGTACATACCACTTATCAGTGGTGTCAGTACTTAAAATGTTTACTAGGAGGTTCAAATTTAGCTATGAAAATCCTATGTTGGCTACAACTTCGCTTTAAATATGTCTTGGAATATTCTTATTTTCTATGGTCAAAGAGATTTGATCGCATGTATTTGAGCTGAATGCTTTACAATAAATTTTTTCTACCAACTGAAGGAGTTTTCTTCTGCTTGTGTTAGTCAAATGATCTTTAAGGAGGAACATTTTTCCAGCTACTAAAAACTCTTAGTATCTGCTCAGCACAGCAAAACAGCAATGGTGAAGCTTCACTGCACAAATCATTAGTGTTCAACTAAGCCTKAGAAAATGTTACTCTACATGCATGTAGAGTATCTTTTACATGAAGGTTGCTTGTGATTATTCAGAACATTCTGCATGTGAGAAAAGCTACAGTTAGGTTAGCAGTGTAACAGGTCATGTCACAAGGACGCTTGTCTAGCCACTGATACGAACTTTGTAACTTTGGTTGCAGTGTAATGCTTTGAATAAAATGTGCAAAGCAAGTGCACCTGTAACAAGAGCAGGGAAAGCTTTTCCAGGCTACCAGTACAGAAAAGTATGGTACAGTAGATAATACAAAGACTGTTAATTTGTGCATAGTTTCCCTCCACAATACAGGAGACTCTTCATGTGTAAACTGCTTGCAAGTAGAATATTTAATGCTTTTATGAAGAAATGGAGACTTCTTGTATATAGAAATCAGACTACAGGAACACCAGTTTAGTGTTTGTCCTGTTGGTCTCAACAAATTAATTAATTCTGCTAAACTGTTTCAATGTTTTTCTCTGTTTTAGTATTTCAAGCTTTAACTTAACTAGCATGTGTTAGTAAAGGCTTTATTCAATCCAGGAACTTTTACATATTTGGGGKTTTTTTTTCTGTAGCATAAAGTTTCCTTCAGGAAGAGCTAGAAACCCGCTCACCATCATCATAAGCCAGAGGTCAAGCAACTGAACAAGTGATTATCTTCAGAATTCAACTATAACTCTCAATTCCAACTCTAATGATAAATTTGAGAGGAAGCTACAGTGACATTTAACAACTGTACCAAATAGTTTATTGCCATTCAAACTATTCAGAGTATGGTTCACATATTCAATAATTTTCTCTGAACGTTGGTGTATGAGTTGCACTGTATTTTCTATAAAATTTGAGGTGAATCATTTCCTTGAGCTAACTAAAGACTTGATGTTTCTCATTACTAACACCAAAACCACTTCCATGTAAATTGGTATCATGCAGTCCATGCAGGAAATTCCTTCTAGACAGTAACCAACCAATGATCTTGTCTGACACCCAGGAAATCATTTAGGGCTCAGCTGGAGCTAAAAAGATCATCAAGTTGGGATAACCACCGAACCCTTGAGAAACAAATACGTTCTAASCACTGCTGTTGCCTTGCCTTAGAATAGCAGTGACACAGGTATGGAAATGGAAATGACAGCASTGACAGCTTTAGGCATGTAACTTTGACAGATCACTTAAATTTCATTTCCAAAGCTTCATTCTCTTATGCTGTCACTGGTCATTTAGGCAGAAATGTGTAATTAACTGCATCAATGTAACAAGAATCAGCCCTGCCCAGGAGGCTTTTGGTAAAATAAGAACTATGTAAAATACATAGTAAAAGAATTCTCATAGTTTCAATTACAAGAATTATTCTGATGCTTGGCAGGACGACAAGGACAGAAAGGATGGACAGGCCATGACACCCACCAGAACTCTTCCTTAAAGACACCGCTTCTGTATCATCACTGCAGTGATGGTCACACATAACCATTACACCTGAGGGAGACTACTCAAGCACTGGATTTACAYTGTTTTTTCCTGTCATCGAGGAAGTGATGCTGTTGAACTGTGCTGTTGAACAACTCTGTGTCAGCTTCCCAACTTCCCAGATACTTACAAGGAAATCAATTGTTGAATTACAGGCTCAAATGCACTTTGAAATTTAAAAAGCTGGCACAACTTCTTGTTCAAAGGAAAGACATTGTTCTGAGAAATGAACATGCTAAAAAAGAATTAACAYATTGCACAGCCTTATCTAGAAGCTCAGGGATTGTGGAAGTTAATATGTTCACAATAAAAAAAATTGGTACAGGCATTTTTTTCCCCCTGGAAAAAAAAAAAAAAGGTACAAAGACCTTTTTTAGGTATTACTATGAAATTGTATTATCTACTTAGTAATTTGGATTACATTTTAACAGATGAACTTTGCCTATTAACACCTTTCAAGTTACTTTATGTTTTTTTTTGGTTTTTTTTTTTTTTTTTTTTTTTTTTTTTTTTTTTTTTTTTGTAGATATTTGTTTTCAGAGGCCAGAGATGATAAAGCTCTTTAGGAATGTTCTCCATGTAGCCTATTACATGAGACCTGCATGGAACCATTTCAGTCTTTACCATGGGTATTTCTCTTATCAGTTAAACTGATTTAAGTTCCTGCATGCTAAAGAAAAACCATTCAGCAAGTTTSTTTAATGTTTTCATTAGCTACCCTACTAATCATATTATTGACTTTATTGGGAAGCTGCAATTTTTACATTAGCACTCAGAGCTGTCACTACTCAAAACAGTGCTGCAGACCTCTGCTCAAAGATCTGAATTATGTGGAGCACAAGGTTATGCCACGCCTTCACCAGAAGAAAGATTTAGTCAAACGCAGGCTGAGAGAGATCGAAGTGTGCAACCAAGGGACCAGCTCCTGCTTTGCTTCCTTGTATGCTCAGAAAAAGCTGGTTTTCACATGCCTTGTAAATAAAATTAAATTTGTTTTTGTCATTTCACTACTAAGGAGTAGATTTGTATTGAAAGTTCTAGTCTACATACATTTGGTGCTTGAGACTAGAACAAAAGCATTGCCAAAATGTCCAACAATGTTGTTACCAAGTTCTTACCTTCTCCTCTGGCAAGTTCTTCCGCTGTACTAGTAACTAAACACAGGGTGAGAGAAGCAGTGGCTTATTTATCCACACATAGTTCTGTGTAAATGAAAACATCTTTTCTCCTAAGTAAATTAATACAATCAAGTTGAACTTTTATTAACCTAAGAAGAGATTTTGCWGTAAACCTGAACATTATTCTAATGTTACATTTGCTTTTTTTTTTCTTCTGTAAATGTTAATATATAAATAAATGCAAGTTTACCTTTAGTAGCCATAATTTGCTACATAATTTAGTAAACACARCATCATACATCTATTGAAGAGTAAGCTACTACGTAAGCTACATATTAAAAGGTTGTAAGAATGCAACAACAAAAGGAAAATCCAGCATACCCAAMTGCTTACAAGTCTCTGGAGATATTAAATATATATTAAGGTGCTACTGAGTATTAATCTTCAACAGGAGAGAAAATTTTATTTGTGTTTATATCTTTACATGTATATGAAAATAAGTACACACACATTTATGTTTTCATAATGTTCAGAGATTAATTATTCTTGCAAAATAAACARCTGCTATTGGCTAATTTTGTAACAAGGCTTTTCTAGGTTTTTTTTTGTTGTTGTTTTAAACAATACATACAGTATTCTTAATGTTAAAATTGCACGTTCCACACGGTGGGTTGACCTCATGCAAGAGTCTAAGGGAAAAGACCATCTGCAAAGGAAGCCCAAAGAGCACCTGTTTCTAAATATGCACACACCCTATGCATGTTCAGACTTAAACTTTATTGCTTCGTAGTAGTTTCATTAACTCATAACTGACTAGTGCTAGTCATAGTGAGCTCTGTTGTGGCCTGTCAAGCTAGTCAGTATGGAAAGCATTGACATATAAAAAGAAACAGTGAGAGAGAAGCTTCATTTAAACATTAATAAAGAAAATGAATGGCTATAATGTCAAATAATATTCAGGTCAGTCCACATCCAGTAGTCTTTCCTATCATTTTAGTTCAACTTTGGTAGCTACTGTTGTTTGTCCTTGTAGGTTCTGAGCTATACAAACGTAGTTTCCAGCATCTATGGCTTCAAAATCCTCAATGAGAAGAACACTCTTTGAGATTCTTGTAGTGTGTCCAATTCCTCTGTTTATCAATCTCCAGAAGTTTTGAATAATCACAGGCCTCTCATACTGCTTAAAAAATAAAACAAAAACAACCCACCCACATAAAATAGGTGATTCTGCAAAGTATACTTAGTGACACCACCCCATCAAACCCTGAAGCAAGAGGCTGAAGAGTAGGAGCCTATATCAAAAGTCAGCCCTAAGTGAGGAAACTGAAGGTGTCTGGCAGTTGCAGCAACATTCCTGCATTAAATACTGATGTACCAATAAGTTATGCCAAATAAGGAGAACACAATGGCTCTTCCACTCCAAGCACAGGTACTGTGTATCTTTACATCAGAGACAGGCTTGCCAAAGCTCTGCCTGGAGCCCGTGCCTGTGCTGAGTTTTAGGCCACTTATTAAGGTTGTATTTGGGTACCTGATCAAATAGGTGAGGTATTGGGACAGATGTGTGAGCTCATYTTCAGACTTTCAGCATGTCTCAAAAACAAGGCAGCAGTGGTAGGCAGTTGACTGAGCTTTAGTTCTCTTTTAACATAGCAAATAGCTGTCACATGTTGAAAACTAATTCCTCCTCTAGTTTTAGAAAACACTATATTAGATAACATACAAACAAACAGTAACAATTGTCAAATACTTTAAAGTTAATCCTCACATTCTGTTTTCCAAAATGTATGTGAAACTTCAAAGCCAAAAATACAAAACCCCCTTCACGTTCAGATAAAAAAATACTTTTGGGGGCTTTTTTATTATTAACAACTAGCTTTTTTTTTATAAGGTAATTCTCTAATGGACTCATATTTATGAAGTCGCACTGCCTGGCACCTCAGAATGTCACAACATAGTGGAAAAGAGGAATTGGCMCAAAGATAGATTAAGGCAGTCTCTTCCAAAAACCATCTGCTGCTAGTCAGCAGCTTAAAGCACACTGGCTTCTACTTTACCGATACTGGGATAAAACTAAGAGAGAAGTTTCTGCTTGGAAACCATCTTCCCTTGCTTCATGAAATAGGTGGATTAACCATTTACCAATATGAATGCTACAAGGCTTAAGCTAAATGTAGTAATAGGGTAAGTTAGACACTTATGTAGCATCAAAGCTACAATCTCACACTTGCAAAATGTACAGTACAAAGGCAGCTACCAGTCTTCTTGAAACTTAGGGATGAGTCACAGTGCAATCAGGGAATGCCTAGGAAGTGGCAGGCATTACCAGCTTTAAAAAAAATAAAAAAAATAAGAAATATTTGACAGCTCAAATRTCATAGAAATTCTTAAACCTTTAAAAGTAAATAGCTACTTAACAAACCTGAAAATAAAGTGCAATCAAGTACTACTGCACAATTAATTCAAGTCTAATTTAGTTCTTAAATATAGCGAGTGGAACTTCCTTGATCCTACTGAAAGTGAAGGTAAAGGCTGTGCAAGGTGGACCCTGTTTGYCTGGTTGGCCTCTTGCTAGTCCATTTTTCCTCAAACTAATTGCCTTCTGCTTTGAAGCCTGTTTCACACAATCAGATTAAGGGTGGATCTGTATGCATTCACAGCAGGTGAATGAACAAACACAACTGCCAGGGAGTGGCAAGGGGAAGCAGGGAAAAAAAAACACGAGGGAAAAAAGAAGAGGGAGAGGTTAGTGACTGCAGAGATGAAATGAGGGTCTCCATAAGGCAGTGTACCGAGGGACAAGGKGGGATTAATGTGCTGCTTCTGCTTAGGAATCGAGCAATAGGTGAGAGGCCAGCTGCAGGATGTTGTGGTGTGGGACAAAACTATCACTGAGCTCCCAGCACTGAAAGCAGCAGCATGAATGGAAACATCTGGTAAATGTTGGAACCCTGTCAGTCCTGTCMTTTTTCTTGCACAAAAAAGTCTATATGACCAGCATCACTGATGGTCCTTGTCTCTTCTCCCTCCATCCACCTTTTTCAAGTATGTGAACACTCGTAAATGTTAAGCCTCCAACAAGCATACAAACATGCTTCTACTGTGACATTTACTTGATCCTTTTGTTGGGGCAGAAACCCAAACACAACTTTCCCCTCCCTATCCCCAGGCACAGCTGGAGCTGAGACTGTTCACTCCAGTGAATAAGCACATCAGCCCTTTCAGGGGCAGATGCAGGCCACAGGCCAAAGCCTCTCTCACCCCYGTAGGTGGGTGCAGTGAGAGGGTGGAGTCTTCTGCTGACACCACGTGTGCCCTGCACTGCAGCTCTTGTATCCATAGCAAACAAGGGAGATAATCTGCATGTTTAGCTAGAGAGGTGTAAACATGCACAATGCCAGCAGGYATCAGGTGCTGTAGAACACCACTGGGAACAGCTGGGCCAAAAACAGCCAGCAAAGCAGGCCTGGGGCTGCCTGGGAAAGATGCAAAACGAGGCTGGGCTCTAACAAGATACAGAGTTTTGGAAGGCCAAGCTGARTCTAGAATTTAATTCCTTCAATTGTTGTTCTTGGTAACTACAGTTGGTTACAAAAGACAAAAATGGGGTTTGTCTAGCCAGTTATTACAGTCCAATAAACAGATAATGGAGCTGAACAAAAACCCAAAAAACCAACACAAAACAAAAAATGGAAAAGCATATCAATCAACAAAGCTAATGTGATCAAACAGGAGCATTTCTCCCCTTCCAGAAAAGGCTGGGTGGAGGGAGATARAGAGAGTGAAAGGACAAGCTAACGTCTAAGTGAAGTGCTGGTTCTACGTGCCCAGTGCTCTCACCAACAGTTCAAATCCCTTTTGTGCTCACTCGCTCTTACTGTTGTCCCCCTGAGGAGACACACACCTTCCTGTGACAGCTAAACACCACAATCTATGGCTGAATGGCTACTGCAAACTTCTGGGGCCTTACACTTGAATCTCCTCAGGCCTAGTAAGCACTGAACTCAAATCACTCACATAAGCAATTATCTCTGCTGYTAAATTACTTGTCTGCTGTCCCAAGGCGGCCAGTGCTGATAAATTAATCTTATTAGCAAGCTCTGCACTATCCTTTGCAACCCAGCACCAGAAGAGCTGGCAAATAGGATACAATGCCAACTCTCCAGTCACAAAAGATCTCTTTTCCCTGGTGAAAGGTCCCATCTTCCAGCAGTCCKTCCTCTGCTCCTAGTCTGATTAGGATAAACAGCAATAGGGATGAGGCTGATTAAGAAACGAGCTCCTGCTGTAATAGGTCAGGGTGGTTAGAGTTAGAAGAGAGGGGACCCTCAGTGAAGCTAGTCAGACACATCTTATTTTGGGCAAGARGAGAGACCACAGATTCACTCTGTGTTTCCTGTGGATTCTTTMAGAAGAGGCAGGGCCGGTGCAGATTCTGCTTCTGGATATGGGCAACAATTAGGTTTAAAAATTCTGTGCTGGGATGATTCATGCAACCAAGCCATGGAGAAGGAAAGGTTATCAAATAGAGAGGCATCAGAGGACCTTGTGGCTTGCCCTAGAATAGCCTCCTGATGTTGGTTGGCTTTCACCCTGTCTAAGGCTTTCTTTGGAAATCACCCTGTCTAAGGCTTTCTTTGGAAATGCTGCCAGGGACCACATATCTCTGGAATGGAAACTGAGGGAAAAGTGAGCTTTACTGAATTTGGTTTTTCCTAGCAGGGGTAGAGCTCTCCAGCTTCATTCCTATGCTACTTCTAGATTATGAGGGAAAGATAGGCTGAAGTTCAAATGAGGCATGGTACCTCCTCCTGCCAGCATGCCTGAACTAGCAAGAGGCAGACACCACAACCTGAAAGAATTTTTGCTCCAAAATCTAGACACTGAATGGAACTTGAAGTGCTGCCTTCATGAAGAACAAACCGCTTCAGGCAGGGCCACCTCTTACCTCTTGCCCTGGGTACTGCCACCTGAAGTTCACATCCACATCTGGCTCCCCAAGGACTGTGCAGACGACTTGAACTCTGTCACTGAGAGCGGCTCTACTGGATGATGCTGCTATTGTGGCTGAGGGTGGGCCCTTGGGAACTGAAACAAAATGTTTAAAAACAGAAAATAGGCTGCTAAAGTAAAATACACTGATGAAATTGAGTCAATTTTTGACTCAGGTTGCTTAATGCAACAGGTGKTTTACACCTGCAACTTTCTCCTCTAAACTAGGGAACTGCTGGAATTTAAACCTACAACGCTCTAYCACATATGGTTTTGATCATGATTTTAAAACTCTGATTAGATTACTTCTATTAAAAAAATKTAAATAAAATTATTATCTTAATGTCAGCAGAAGAGTCAGTTTAAGCATATAGAAAGCTGCACTCTACCTTCCACATATAGTAGGTGGTATCTGATGGAAATCTGAGGTGCTCCCTGTGACTCTGCTTTGCAGTAGACAATACCTTTATGATTAGAAGTAGGGTGCTGGAAGATAAAACCCTTCTTTGCATCATAAACAATATCAGTTCCATCTGTTTCAATTTCTTCTGCTGGAAATTCCCTGTGTAGAGTCACTTTAGCTGAAGGTGTAGTAACACGGCATGGAATGACTGCAGGTTTATCTGGGTTCAGGTAGACAATCTCAAAATAACCAGGAGTAGGTACAAAAAGTTCCTCTTTGTCTGTGCAAAAGAGTTGACATAGTWACAGAAATATTTACATCTTGGCAAAACAGAAAGAAAAGGAAATACATTTSACAAGAGAAAATAGCTGCAAGCATCATTTAAAGCAAAAAGCTTTGGCTTAATTTTAATATATACATGCAAAAGTAAAGAAACAGCACGCATTTAAAAACATTAAGTTGAAAATAAAAACAAAGTATTTTTTAAACCTTAGGAAAATCTTTGGAATTTCTTTGAGTAAGCTTCCAAAYATTTATCAGCATCCCGACTACTAGAAAAAGATACCTTTTGAAGCTACAGACCTTTTATACCTAAACTTTTAGGCAAAATGTTTGATTTATTGTCCTAAGCAGATGAAGTATTTAGTGCCATTAGAATCACAATGTGTTACAGTTAAAGAGTATTTCCAGAATTGGCATGCTCCTTAGAAATATAAAGCTGAAATTCCTCTTTCTAGCATAAGCATTTACGTAATAACTTGACTGAAAYGTTTATTCCAGCCTTTCGAAAGGAATGCATTCTGAAAACATTAGGCACTCATGGTCCAATTTAGCTCCAAAATGTATTGCAAACAATYCTATATTAACATTTTGTGCTAAAAYATTTTMTAGCCATGAATACTTTAGCTCTAATCAGGCACTGAAGTTTGTTTTACCATTCKGAATGGTTTTCAGAAGAAAAAATGACCCATTTGATTTCAGCTCTATTGTAYCAAGTAGCAATAAACTGTGCACAGGCTCTGGGGGACAACACACGTACTTGAAGAGTGTTTTGCCTCTCAACATGCTATTTTGACTTCTGGGAGAAACTGTGGCCTTACTAAGGTCAGCAAGGTCAAGACTTTTAAGGCAGTGCAGGTAACTGAAATAAAGTGGTAATGGAGAAGAGTCCATGGGATCATCTGAATGCTGTGAYAAAACAAATCTTCTGCATGGATTTATTTTTTTTATCAAGACACATTTTCAAAAATAAAACATTTTATACTTGTTTTGTAGCAAATCCTTACAAAGTGTGTTACTATTTTTGAAGGTACATTCTTTTCATTGCATTACTTTGGGTACACATTTTGCATAATTCATAGGGAAAATGTACTCAAAACAGTCAAACTAARCAAGTAATTTTCTGCCTACCAGTACTGTTTCCCTTAACATGCACTAACAAAAGATTGTGGAAAATTGTGGAAGTAAAATCTCAACAGTGGAATTGCTGATGTAGCTTTATTCCCATCTTACTAGCAAATATATTTCCRTTAATAATCCTCCAGTGAGTTAATTACCTGTGAAAAAGATGTATGTTGACCCTGTTTTAGTCTCATCCTTCCTGCATTTGTTACCATTGCACAGCTGAAGCCAGCAGCTGTATTCACCTGTGTCTGCTGCAGTGGAGTTTGCAAGGATCAGCTGACTAGACCTGTCAAGCTGTTTTATGCTGTGGAAAAATAAAACAAAAGGCATAAGCAAGCACAGAAGTATTTCCTTGTACATTTCTGTCAGCTCATTTCCACTTCTGATTTTTTTTTCTTTCTCTGCAACTGACCCACTTTTCACTTTCAGAGCTCTCTTCCAACTTTCCCTTTTGCTCCGGCAGAGACTGTTTACATGAGTAATTTTATTGATCTAAACTACATATGAGAGCTTGCAAGGTTTTGCCTTGTACAGTTCCTTCTTGCATTCCTTCAAGTCTCCATTTTGAAATTGGGCTGTGACTGTTCTAGTCAATATGTTCATCTGTGTTTAGTCCCAGTTTGTCCATGTATAGCCCTTTTTTCACGCTACAAGTGAATCCACATTCATCTCAGTCCTTTTTAAATATTGTAGCACTGCTTCAACAGTATCCAACAAAGATAATTCACAAGTAGTAGCAGGTACTCCATTGAGAGTTTGTGCCTGCTTTCAATGTGAATGCTTTACGAATGTTTAACTGGTCCAAGTTTCCATTTGCAAACACCAACAAGAGCTGCTAGCTCAGCTTGGATTTATCCTGCAAGTGAAGTCATTTTGCATCACCTACTCCTCTGCCCTAAGTCACTTCACTGGAGTTTCCTTCTCATCCCTCAGCCATTTAAATAATGACCCCGAGAACTGATTGAGGCCTACTGGCAGTGCCATCACTTACCTACATAAAATTCAGTCTGTGGGAATATCTCAGACTTCATTTGGTTTTTTTTCCCTCCGTCTCCTGAATTTCCCAGGTACACCTCTCAGTGGACTGACATTTGCAAATGTGCAACTATTTATAAATATGTAGACAYATACATAGACACTGACAATTTTTCTAAGGGGCAAATGTCCTATCCAGCAGCTATAGTCTCATCTTGGTTTGTTTTTTTTTTGTATTTTAAGGTTTACTTTCCTGGCTCTTTCTTGCAGACAGATGGTGTTGTAGTTGGCAGTCTGCTGTGTTTACTTTTGATAGAKTGCAAAAGTGATGGCCTGAGAGTACCAGTTCTCAAAGAACCCCRTCAGCACAGCCATGTGGCAGTACTGATGTAGTCTGCTGCTGCTCTGACCTTTAAAAATGTTCTTTTCAACCAGCCACCTTYCATGGTAGTGCATCTAGGACATCAAGGGYTCCTGCCTTSCTTCACAAGACACTGAATTACAAGRTAATTTCTTTTCAAACCAAATCAGGAACGATTTTTCCAATTTTAGCATTTGACAAGGAACTTATTTTTACTGTTTTAAACTGGATTTGGACAAATACASAGCTTGCATGAAGTCTAAACAGCTCTCATTCAACTGTGGGTTTTTATTATCCTCCCATTTCTTTTTATTAATGCGGCAGTTATTCTGTAAGGCAGATACCTGACTGAATAATTTCCTTCTGGGATTAGCATCTTTGAAGAAATTTTTGTCCTCTAAAACACCTCATCACTGAGCAGTACTGTAAACATGCCTGAGTGTACTGTGTACTCTAAATGCTCTGTTTTGCTTAACTCTCCACTGCAGGCAGAATAAYTGCCTAAACAGAGGCCACCACTTCAGCTGTGTGTGCTTCCCAAAAGCTCTGACTCCCCAGGCTCTGCTAGCGGTTTGCACAGCTACCAGCAATGACAAGCAACAGCTCATGTAACCAACACTCAGCCTTCAGTTGGACAAGCAGCTTAGAGATTAAAAAAAACACCAAATACTCACTTCAAAMACAGATAACTCAGAATTATGTTTTCCACGTAAGCCCTCAGACACCATTAGCACCTGGATCCAYCACAGGGCAGTTTTGAGGACTGGCTCAATAAATAGGCAAATCACATTTCCCATCCACTGATGTGCCTGCCTACACAACCTTGTCTGATTCCACTTTTTAAAACCATATAATTATGGTGCACTAGCCTTTCCATTTTTCATATTTACACTTCCTTACATTGTAAATTATCTTCCGTTTTTGGGTAATGTTTGAGAGATTCCTATTCATTTTCCTACTCCGAGAGAACGTGCTGTGTATCATACCCAACAGGAAGAAAAGATAAATCCAAAACATGTCTTAGCACGTACTATTGAGTTTCACAGTTCACATTTTACAGGCTATATGACCACATCAGAATAAAATGTTTTCCAAGGATCAAGTACTAAATGTTAACAATACAGAGAAACTATTATACCAGAACATTTTTGCTTCTAATCTTTAAYGCAGACACTGAGTTATAGCTTGAAATCCCAACAGRCAGAAAAATAAGGTCAGAGTTAATTAATTATTGTACAGTGTGTTCTTCTTAACTGGGAACAAGCTACGCAGTAATCAATAGAAATAACCTAGCACAGTAGTCATCCACAAACATGCACTAACAAAACCTGGCAAATGAGAGTGGAAGTGTCAAAACTCGAGACAAGACCATATTAAGCAGACAAAACAGGCCTATAAAGTAAATAACAATTGGTAAGTCCTGCAGCTGACCAATATTTCTAGCATTTCATTACTATTTCATTACTATTTTAGATGGTGGGAAATCTGACTCAGAAGCCAAAACTTTGCTGTGCTGTGGAYATCACAAAGCAAAAATGTTGTATATACAAATATTACAAGACTGTTTAAAGAAACTAGAAAAGTAGTCCAAAATTTTAGTCCCYACTTTCAGGCTATTAAACTTTGGTTATTTACAGTTCATAAGATCTTTGCCAGAAAACTATGCCACACTGAGCAGCTAAAAAGACAGTGTATATAGCCTCACTCAAAGAGCTACCAAACTGCTCTCAAGCAGCTGYGTTCATACTGACAAAAGAGAGCTTATCTCAAACACATGCTCACTAGGACAGGAACATAACATCTCACTGTTTTACACAAGAAAAAAAAAAATCCCTAGCTTTCAGACTTCAAAGCACAAGCAGCAAAATGAAATTCAGTTATACACATGAGCACAACTGATGTCCCACTAAGCCCGTGGGAGTCTGCATTCAGTGAAAGCAGTCTAATTTCTGCCCAGTTTTGCCCCCTACAACATCCGGTYTCCTCAATATTTGTGAAAGTGCTCCTGTCCAGACACCCTCCGCTCACACAAATGTACATGTCATCCATGTTCAGCTGTTTGCCCCAGCTTCTTCCACCAGAGCAGCTCCATTTCATGTGAGTTTACTCATCAGATGGAGTTAAATGCAGTTCCATTTCACGTGGGATAACTTATCAGACAGAGTTAAATGCAKCTGGTGTTCAGCAAGGGAGAGACTTATGCTCCAAGTCAGGCAGTGCAGAGAYTGTGTGCAGTCAGACTGCTTTCATCTAGAGCAGCTTTCTGTAATAAAGCTTTAGTAAAGGGAAACTGTGCCTGCCCTTATTTTTATTTTCATCCCTCTCATATGTTRTAGATCCAGTTTCTGGGTGAGCCTCCAATCATTAATTTGTTATGCACAAAAATGTCTTACAAAACAGCATTCCAGCCCTTCTGTACTGGGGGTGCATGAACAACCTCTGACTGTTAACATCAYCAATGTTTCTGGGCAGTTCAGTGAGCACACAGAATTTTCAGACATAAATACTTTTATGTGCTGCACAAAGCAAGAGAGCATTACARATAACAGGATAGTTTTGAAGTTCTGAAACAAGCTATTAAGCTGGTTGGTCCTTAAGCTGGGACCCATGTTTGCATGATTCAAGCTTTCTCCCCAGAGTTGCATTGCATGCTACAGTCTCTAAAGTTCAGTAAATTATTTCAATGTGTACTGTTAGGTACTCCAGCTGTAACAGTGGAAAGGCAGAATTTCTGCTCCATCTCAGCAAGAAACAGCCGGAGTCCTCCTCCTCCTCTTTTCACTCGGCATCTCTCCCTCCCTCAGATATGATAATTTTAGCACATGTAACAGCTCCAGATCTATTAAAAGCTGAGACTCTCTAGTACAGCAAGCAAAAGATTTTATGTACCAGGTGTAAACTATGGCTACAAGAACAAATTCAATGAAAGCATAGCCACTAATACTACAGAAATAGCTTTTCTAATTAAAATCTTTCTCCTTGGTAAAGGCATATTTGTCCCCCAGTATTTTCCTTACCATATGAGTTAAAAACATAGTAAGTGTGGCATGGAGGCAAAACATCCAGCTTCTATCCCCACTTTTTTTTTGCAAACACCCATAGAAAACACATTACATTGATGTCAAATTTAACTAGTTGCAAAACAAAATGCCAGAGTAGTTGAATTTGCACATCCCTTCTATTATGTAATGGAAAAGTATTGGATGCCAGAGTGTCTGTTGCTATAGGGACATTAAAATGAACAAAAGAATTGCAGTTATCATTAGTCCCCAGCAACGGAAGGGATCTCACCACCATTGTCCCTCCTCCTCTTCATTTTTCCTCTGGAACACCAACCCACTCCTTCTTCATTTTCCATCACCTCCTCATGCCCCCATCACTTCCCCCTACTGCTGCCATCAATTCTGGTTGCACCAGTGTCCCAGCTCCAGCAAGACTTTCATGTAAATCTAAGGCAAAAAAAAAGCCCAGCCCAGTTAATTAGCTTGGGTTTCACCCCACACCTTATTCACTGGTAATGAAGGGATTACCTTCTTGGTCTTCAGGTACAAAAAATGTTAGAAGATACTGGCATGTATCTACCTAGATGATTAAACTATTTCTGCTGTACATTATTATTTGCTAATAATTTTTCTGAATTTCCCCCCTCTGTCCTATATTCATAATTTTGTTTTAAAATAATGAAGGTAATATATTCATAAAATTTTAAAAATTTATTGCAGTTGATGTTTGGTGTATGGTCTTGCATAAGCTCCTCTTAAAAGATCATGGATTTGATGACCTTTTCTGGTGCCAGCTCCCTAACGAACCACTGCCAACTGAGCTAAGTAAGTAACATGGTATCTTTATGGTACTGCCAGTTAAACTCCATCAAAGCTTTCTAAAACCACAGAACAGAAATTCTAAATTTCACATTCCACAAAGCAAAGACCTTGAGATAATTACCAAAGCCATGTTAAAAATGTGACGGAAATGTCACTGCATAAGATTCTGCAGTCATTGTGTCCATAAATTATTACTATTCCGTGACTCTGAAATCTGCTTTTAATTTACATTTTCAATTTCTCTTGTTAATTYWAGGATCTTCTGCTGGCATTCAAAAYTTTCATTAAGCCAAATGMAGCCCTACTGCTTTAATAACTTATTTCAAAAAGCAATGACAATTATATTTCAATACAGATCCTTAAGTATAAGCCTTAAATACTTCTAAAAGAAAATAAATACTCAGGCAAGCTATATCTACCCAGTCAAAATGTTTTATAGCATTTATTTTGTGTGGTGTTACCAACTTCTGTTGTATGGTTAAAATACTACTGCGACCTTGACTGAGAACAGAAAGGTAAATTGCTGAGGCAACAGGATCCCAAACTACTTCAAACTGGAAAACAGAAAACTACACAATCATGCCATACATTTTTTGTTTTGTTTTGTTTTTTTGTTTTCCCAAACTATCTCAATTTCTTGTATTTTGTCCCACATGCATCAACAGAGAACACTTAATTTCACGAGAGGAATAGGTAGTCAAATAACTAATGAAGAGGCATTCCAATTCTTCTCCAAAAACTCTGAATATTGGCCTGGCCTCTTCAGTGCCAGCTGCTGATACTCAGATAATGTGGCCTGGAGGTCTACAGGACCAAAGCATGCCAGCTATCTATTTGCAATTGCACAAAACATTAAGATAGACTTGAGAACAACCACCACCTTGTACACACATACTCCCTGTTGATGTGCAACATCCAGCTCTGGCCTGCTGGAAGGCCAGGTCTGTTCTGCAGCTAATAAACGCCACCTACTGAAAGAAAACTGGATAGAACAGTATTTCTTGCAAAATAACCAGCAGCAGTTTAAATCGGCCACAAGATCTTCTGAGAGACACCCCTGCGATAAACCCACAGCAGGAATCAGCCTGCTGCTGTAAGTTGCTGTGACAGAAGCCTTGCACTGAGCCAGGGTAGTCCTTGAACTCTCCAGCCACCAAGAGACAAGCAAATAAATGCAGAGAGAACTGTCTGATGAATTACAAGAGGACGTGCAAGAGATCACAGCATGTAACTGTTCATCAACACTCCTCTTTGGAAAGAGAAGCAGAAAGGAAAAGAATGTATCTAAAAAAATAATTCACTGGGAGTAATTTTAAGGTAACATCACACCTGTAAATAAGTGAAATAGATCACTGAGATTCATATAACATGAGTTACTTAGAGAGAGCATAMATTCTTGTACTTAATTTAGGAACAACAGGACAAGAGAGGCTGACATATTGACTCATACCTCCATGCTCCTCTCACCTAATAATCCAAGAAATACTCCATACAGTTCTTTCTTYGGGTATTATTCACAATGGTTCATTGTCTCCATAAAACAGACAGTGAAAACAAATGGTACTCATGGCAATAAAATACCTGTGGAAGACAGGTATTTTATTTATTAAGCTCCTTATATGTCCCTCCTCTTTCTAATACAGAACTAAATTACTACATTTAATCTACATTTAGCTATGTGTACTCTCCCAAACACCAGGAGGGCAAACAATGTATGGAGTCTCAGAAACGATGTTCAGAACAACAGGACACTCAGATGGTGGGGCAGAGAAAGGGAGGGAGCCCTCAGTTCCTCTTCTTCCTCTAACAAATCTTCATAAGGTTTTCATTAAGATGCCACAAGACAAAAGAAAAAGCTTTCCTTGACTTAAAGTAACACTCCTCAGCAATAAACTCTGACACACCACAAACCCTGCATTTCCCTTTTGCACACAAAGGCAACTGTGACTGAACCACTGCTTCACTTGCTCCATGGCATGGAGGCTGGTGGTTTTTTTGCTAGTTAAGAGATGCGGGTTTGAGTCTCYTCAGAAAATTAATTGTACTGCCTCAGGTGGCAGTCACATTAGTAACCAGTACACCCACCAGCTGCAAGTCTCTGTAGAGCAACMGAGTCCATAGTGAGCATCTGACATAAACACTCACACATTTTCAGTGTTTTCCTTTGGACCAACCTAATGTGGTTCCCTTTTTGTGGCTGGAGCACAATGGTGAACATCATCTGTATTTTAGATTTATCTGAAGGAAATACAGTTCACATGCTGTAAGACTCCCACAGTGCAAATCACAGGGCAATTGGTAATGACTAAGCGTTGCTCAGCCTTTTTGTGGACATCAAAAACTGTTAGATAGAACATGTTGATTGTAAAAATGTAAATGAACAAACAAACAAAAGTACCAGTGGTGTTGAAAGCAGTAGGGGAAAAATATTCTGGAGTTTTTTTCCTCCAAAAAAAGAAAAATAGCTTACCTGAGTCTGGAGTCTTTAAAGGTGTCTAAATAYGAAGGATAGTTCCAAGTAACATTACTGCCCTTACATCGCAGTTCTAAGCTTTGTCCTGCAGACAGGTTTAAAGTGGCAGCTAGTTTCTGGAAATGACCTTTATCCATCACCTGTGTCAGTATGGACTGGGRCTTCAAAGAGGAGTCTGCAGATTCTCTCTCCTTCATTTTGGGAGTTTTGGGTTTTACTTTCTTGTTAACGGGCTTAATTTTGTTTTCCCCTGGTTCTTTTGGACGTTTACTCTTCACAGGCTGTCCAATAACTGATAAAAATAAAGAAAATTAGAAGAAGTTTATACAGACTTTCTGGAAAAAAACAACCTTCCTTATTATCCCAGAGAATAATGGAAGTTTTGTCCTTCCTAGAAGAGATGGATAAAACGTAGGAAGAGTTAATTTCCATAACTTTTTGAAGTCTGCCATGACCCATTTTCCTGGGGAAAAAGGAAAGAGATCTTTCAACAACATGTGGAAAATCTATACTTAYATAAACAGAGAAATATGCAAGGTATGAAAATTTTATAAATGGTTAGGGAAAGAAGTACAGCATTTCTAACTCCTGCCACTTATGTCATTTCCACCTCCTGGCACTGCCATGCAGGACACAATGTTACACGAGCTCTCCACGTTCATGTCATGTGCCCATCAATTCTGCATAACCTCTTACACACCACTCCAACCTAAGGGACACACGAAGAACTGGCAAGTGCAGAACTTCACTACAATTTAGAAAATACTGATAGAGATGCAGTTTTCTGAGTTTACAGTAATTATTGAAATGCAAATGACACGTCACTTGAAGGTGCTATTTAAGTCATAATTTCTCCGTAAAAGCCATTTATTTTGGCAGTCCAGATGAAGACAGAATCTTTTTTGAGACAAGCAATGAGATATTTCATTATCTCCTAGAGACAACAGGGGTGTCCAGTTGCCTTTACAAACAAAGGAAACAGAACGAAAAAGTGTTGTGTCTCAAATACTAAGGAAAAAAAAAATCCAGCTTTAACTGACATCAGGAAGCAGAGCTCTTTTGTGAGACAAGTCTAAAACTACTTTTGCAGGACACTAGAAACTCTGCTAACTGCACCTGACAATTAGTTCTTGTTTTTCACATAGAAATGCTGAGGTATTTCACTGTTCAAATCGATCCACAAGCTCCCTGTGGAATGAAAAACAGCCCTGCTGTATACCCATCATGAATTAAAACTTGTACCAGTTGCCAGTATGAACTTCCAGATTCCTGCCACTGATGGCTCCCATGACACTCCTCAAACCCCAGTTGGACACCTTGCACTGYGTCAGCTTTGACTTCTTCAAGTCCAGGCTGATGTACAACATATTTCTTTTAAATGGCACGGTGTTTTCTGAGCACGAATTTAAAAACCAGGGAGTCCTAGCATTTTCACCTTGCAATACATTTGAAACATTTGGGTCAGACCAAAATTTGCACCGACAACACCTAGTGTCAGATGCCAATCAGGGAACAGGGCAACCATTTCTCCTCCTTTGATACTACCCTCCTAAGCTACCAAAAACCTTTAGCTCAAGATCTGTGAACCACAGTCATCTTCTTTATATTGTGTTTGGCTAGTTTTGTTTGGAGTAGTTTTTTGGGTTTTTTTTTTTATTATACAGTCCTTGCATGTTTTCCTTCATTAATCTGTATGGTCAGTTTTCAAAATAACACAAATTGCATACAAACACTAGATGCCTTCTAGTTGTTTTGTTTTTTTTTTTTTAATAAATAAATAAATAAATATCCATGCTTCTCCAACACTTTTACAAAAACTTGAGTGGTTTTGACTCATACTCTTTCCAGTCTGACAAGTCCCACTCTGTTTAATTGTTCCTGGTAAGAATAAGCATACAACAGTTCAGCTATACCACATTTGGGTAATGGAAAGAACACAAAAGCAGACTGTATACCAGGTTCAAGGTGTGCTCAAATCCAGTTGTACATATTAATGGTGTCTCCCTTCCTGTCTAAACAGCTCATTACTTTTCAAGACAGCAATATTAGGAGCTGACTTTTTTTAGAATGATCAAGTGTAATTCCAAGATCACTTTCCCATGTAGGAGTTACTGGCTAAAAGGTCCTAAGTAGAAACCCATTGAGGCATATACAAATTAAGTTAGACCAATTTGTGTTACTTAGCATGTGCCAACACAGAATTTGAAGTCCCATTTTCATTGTCCAATCTTTCAAAACTGAGAGATCATTCTACAATCCTTTACCRACAGTTTTCTTTTGACAGATACTTTTTTATGCTTATTTTCTCTAACACTGATTCTTTTGACATACTATTGAGATGTCCTCTAATGATTCTCCCCATAGAGAAAAATTCTGTCTCAGAATCTCCTATTGCTGTGCTTCAAAGGATATTGCATTCAAAGATTCTTCTATGCTTATCATGTCACCATTTTCCATTAAAACCTCTCTAAGCACCTCCATAGTGAACATGGATGTAAACAGATAAATGTTTACTTTCTGTAGATGCTCTTTCTTATCCCCATTCCTACCAGCCATAAAAATGCTACAGCCATGTCTCCCTGCCCCATCAGAACAAGAAAAAGGATTTATGGCTGGTTTTGTCTTTTTGTAAGCTGTTTCTCAAACTCTTTTTGTCTGCTGTATTCTGGCTTTTATATTTAACCCATATGTGAGCCAAGGAGCCTCCCCATCTTATGTAATTCCCCCTTCCAAAACTGAACACATCAGTGGTTTCCTTGGCTTTTATTATTCCTGCAAGAATATTAAAACTTAAGTCTGGCTGTTTCATAGCAGCATCTGAATCCAATTACCTGAGTACTACTCCAGATCAAGTCAAGAATTGCTGCTCTTCTCAGGGGCTCTTTGAGTAGTGGCTCMAAGTCATCATTATTTGTGGCATTGAAACAATTGTACTCTGCACCACACCCTGATGTGTATGACCCAGCCTACATGAGGGGAAATTATTCTTCCTTTTGCTTTTCTATCCAGTCCTTGCTGCACCTCTAGTAACAGAGCAGTCATTACATACTGGGTAGCCAGTTACCAGATTGGTTCTCCACAGGGCTGGTGTTTCAGCCCAGATGATTTTTGCCACTAAAACCCACCAGGAAACAGATTTAACACGAAAGTTTTCTTCTGCCACTTGTCCCTTGGGTAAACTATTCCCTCTTAGTGGAATTCCATCACACTACTGTGCCCTATGTTCCATCAAAAGACCTGATAAGCCTTTTGAATAAGGGTTCCCATTTCAAATTGGCCATTCCAATTGCTTGTTGAATTTTCCAGATTAGTCTGTAGCAGCACAAAAGCCTTGGTTCAGCCATCCTTTTTCATTTTTCTTTCCCATCAAACCCTATTCAGATTTGTTCAAACTACTCTTTGACATTTCCACTACTTTCGGTCAACCTCGATCCTGGCACTGTTTCAAAGGCACACAGATCCTGCAACCCCACCCGTAGGAAATGCTTCATCCCATACTGTGTGCTCTGCCACACCTGACACTCTGCCTTTAAGAAACTCTTAAAGACTCCCCTATGAAAGCTTTTCAGTTTTAAGTGCCAGAAGCCTGGTTTTAATTTTCTCAAGACCAAGTTTTTTCTCTCCACACAAGCTCCCTCTGTTCCACATTTTATAGCTACCAGTGAGTCTGAACACTTTCCTCCTGTACCACACACCCAGCTGCTCAGTGAGACCCTTGTCTGCCTGAGCTTGTATTCCCCTGCAGGTGACAGCAGGGGCACTTTGGGAAACACCATCAGAGGAGCTTTTATCTTGCTACACAGAAAACCTGGTTCTGCCTCTCTGTTGCAACTTCCTGAGAGGTGAGTTTCCAAATAAGCTGTGGCCATGTCTCTTCCCAACACTCCCTTAGAAGTGTGCCCAGATATCTACTGACACCATCACTTCTGCACTTCACAATCCTGATTTCTGTCAGAGCTGAATTAAATCTTTCTATGACAGTTATCACCTAAGGTAAAGAGGACACACAATTCCATCCCTCCAGAAACACAGAAACCATCACCAAGAACCCTCCATTTCCTTACCCAATCTGCAAGACTTTCCCAAGAAACGGGAAACTAGCCCATTCATGCAAGTACATGAATACGCCACATTTGAGATATTTCATTTGAGATAGTTCACCATCTCACTACATGTATGCCGAGTCCTCACTGTTTTAATTATGTTGCAGTATTTCATGTTGCACTGCTTCAGTGCAGCAGCATTTCTTATTAAAAATTGATAAAATGAATACTTAGAAAAATATTCATTGAGAAAATGTCTCATTTCTAAATCTGACCAGTTCCTAATGTCAGTTCTAAGATGTGCTGTACTAATTTCAGCTGCAACAGTGCATTCAGGGTCCCTACTAACTCAGCACATCAYAGTAGCAGACTAGGCATCCACATGTCACAGAAACACACCATGCAGCACTTTTGCTCCCTGTTCATGGTATTTGTCTCATCCTATCCTTTAATGTTTGTCTGCCCCTTGTCCACACAAATACCACACACACAACAATTTCAAAATGGGTGCTAGTCACATAAGCCTAAAGCACATTCATTTTTCATTTGAGACATCACCTATATCCACATGCATATTCCACTGGTCTCACACCTGCACAGTTAATAACTCAAGAAGGCCCCTAAACTTCAAGTGTCARCCTAGAGAGCCTGAGAAGCAAGGTCTCCCACAAGTACAACAGAATCATGGTCACTGTACACCAGATATATCCATTCCAGAAGGCAGGCCCCATGCTACATCTTGGCACCATCAGAGACTGAAAAAACTTTCAATTAATAGTGATGAACTCTTCCTTCAAGAAAAAAAATTAAGTGTGAAGTTACCACAAAATATAATTAACCAGCAGGATTACTATGTGAGGAAAGAGTCTTTGTTATTACAACCAATGTGACAGGACAAGCTGGACACATCATTTCTGGTACATCAAATAAAAAWTTAATCATCCAAACACACTGAAAATCTTGAGGGGCATATTTCATTAGTTCATAAACTAATATAAGCTAAATTAGGAAGACTATTTTGAAATTACAATTATATATTAGGACTTCTACATTTAGTTTTAGACAAGAAACTCTTATTAAATATGCCAGGTTACTTTCTTCCACTGCTACGTTTCTGGATGGTAGAGCAGGAAGCACCCAGTCAAACTTCAGTATAAACATGACAAACAGAGGCTTGGGAAATCTTTTGCCYAAGTTACATCTCATCTCTTTTTCTGTGTTTTTATTGTCTGCTTCTCAAACAGAAAAAAACACTTGTGGTAGCACACACTCCCAGACCAGATTTTTCAGCGGAAATCGCCTCCCATACCACTCTGGTCCACAGCACAATTCCTTTGCACACAGTTGTGAGAGAAACTGTAAAGGGCTTCTGGAAATCCCTTCCCACCCCTGTTCAGATGCTCTGAGCCTTGTCCAGCTGAGCTCCAACTTTCCCAAAGGCTGGAKACTCTACAGCCTCCTCCAACAACTTCTTTCTATGCTTAAAAGCTCTTAGGGTGAAGAWTTTTCCATGTTCTTACAAGAATGTTTTCCTTATGACCTCTTGAACTACTTCTGGTAGCTGCTTCTCCGCCTTTCAGCACACACCTAAGAGCCTGCCTCTCATTTCTCTGCAAACCCTTCCACGGGTTAAGCAGGCCTTGATCCCCAAGCCCCTCCATGGTGAAAAACTCATTCACATATTGCAARAGGGAAAGAGCCTCTCCTTTGCCTAGGTAAAGTCTATGTAAGTCAATGAGTTATAARTGTCTCTTCCCGAAGACTTGCCTTTCGCCATCAAGAATTTCTCACAACCYGAAGCGGAGTTGAGAGTAAAGCTCGGTACTCTCAATCAAACAATGGCGCACAAAATCAATTTTTTTTTTTTTGGTTGTTTTCTAAATCCAAGCATTACRTCCAGCACTGTCCCACGTCCAGCACTGTCTCTCCTCAGGCGCCACACAGGACTGGACGCAGACTCTATCGTTTTATCCCACAGAGAGAGGGCGGTGGGAGCAGCCGGGGCTGCCGCGAACGCCTCTCCCCAAAACCCAAACCCCCATTTTCGGCCGAAAGCTTCGAGACTTGCTGGCTGCACACGATGCGAGCAACCCGCCATCCCTGCGCCTCAGCCCAGCGGGACGGGAGCCCCGCCGCCGCCCCCTCCCGCGATGGCTCCCGCTCCTGTCCCGGCACAGCGGGAACGACTGGAAAGAGGGGAGCCCGCGGCGCCTCGCCAAGTGTGGGGACCCGTCGGGGCGGCAGCTCACCGTGTGGCAGCGCTTCCTGCAGCAGCGGCAGCAGCAGGCTGAGGAGCACCCAGAGCTGCATGGCGAGAGCGGCCCGGGCCCGGCGGCAGCGGCAGCGGTGGGAGCGGCCTCGGGGCGCCTCGGCGGGGAGGGGCTGAGGCTGGGCCGCTCCCGCTCCAGCTCCCGCCGCCCTTCCTCGCCGGAGASCCCGGTGCGGAGCGGAGCTACAGCCCCAATACGCTCGGGGACGCGCGGGGAAGGTGCTGCTTGAACCGGCCGGTCGGTGACAGCTGCCCCTCGGTCTGCACAGGGCCAGCTGCCATCGGGCCCGAGCCGGGGGGGCAGAGCAGAGCAGCGAGAGGCGCACAGGTGGCACACAGGTGACCACACAGGTGGCACACAGGTGACCCCACAGGTGGCACACAGGTGCACACAGGTGACCCCACAGGTGGCACACAGATGACCCCACAGGTGGCACGCAGGTGACCCCACAGGTGCACACAGATGACCCCACAGGTGGCACGCAGGTGACCCCACAGGTGCACACAGGTGACCCCACAGGTGGCACACAGATGACCCCACAGGTGGCACACAGATGACCCCACAGGTGCACACAGATGACCCCACAGGTGCACACGTCGGGCATTGAGCGGGACTGGGCTAAGACAGCAAAAGTACATTTTTACGTCAAACTCTTGCACTCCTACCAGCCTGCTACAGCAAAGAGATTTCTAATAGCTCAGGTAAAGCTACCTCACAGCGGAAAACAGAGGAAGTATCTGTTTGATCCAAATTGGGGTTCCATATGCCTTGATACAGTTTCCGTGGACACCTGCGTAAAGGTGCAAGTATCTCTTTGCTGCTAAGAGATGAACTTGATTTTTAATGCATGCACGTTTATGCTCACTCTGAGCTGTCAAAAGCTGTTCCTCGAAATCTGAGGGTTTCCTTGGAGGAGAGAAGGGAGAGGAAAATGTGACTGGAGGGGCCACAAAGGTAGATGCAAGCCAGGTGAAGATGCTGGACTGGCAGGGCAGTAAAACAGTGACTGTCACAGATTATAGACAGATCCTGTAGCAGGCACAACCACAGTTCGGTGTGAATAAAAAGAAATAAAAGTTGTGTCCCTGGCCACAACAGATGTGAGAGCAGAGTATTTACAGATTACTTAAAGGAACCCTAGGCTTCATCTGCATCCACACAAAAAAAGTTAGAAGGGTTATGCATTATGCTCCCCTACCCTTGTAAGCACACACATATGCACAGTTTGGAGACTTGCTTGCCTGACCCTGCTCTAAGGCTTCACCCTGAGGCACCTGGTTAGCATAAAGAACGCAGTAGGGCCCAGGAGTGGAGTAAGATGATGAAATTTTATGACCTCTTTTTCATCAGTGTCTCATCAACATGTCATCCATTACCTGAAACAAATTAGGAAAAAGAATATTTTTGTTGCTACAGGATATTTTAAGTCTTTCCCCCTATAAACATTTAGTATACCTCTAAGTATTACATCTGAAAAGGTGATCAGTCTTTGCTTAAAGGTTAATGAATCTCAGAGGTAACTCAGAAAAGTTGTGTAGTATAAACTGCAAATTTGCATTGGAAATATTCACAACTCCTGCTCATGATGAAGAGTGGGCTTTTCCTGTCATTTGCAAAATTGCAATCCTTATGTGCCTTCTTAGTTGAAATTTCCCTTTTGYTCTCATACATGGGGTAGGCCAATGATCTAATGGTGTCTGAGCTCCAAGTATTAGTGTGTTATGGAAAATACGGTAATTTTAAGACCTACTTAAACTTACATATTCCTTTTTCCTGTGCAGATGTATACAATGAAGAAAGAAAATKATTTTAGTAATTTTAAGTGTCCTACTTTACAGTGGGTATGCACGAAAAACATTTTCATTTATAGGCATCAGMAGAACTAATGTGAAACCTTCATGGAATGACCCCAGGCCTCCACATGAGTAAGCCAATAGATAAATATATCTTTTCAAGTAATGTTTTAAATGTGATGAGATACTTGCAGAATTGCTCTTGTTCTCATTTAATTTAGTGGCCCTATTCCACTGCTTCATGGGACCAAGATTTTCAAGACCATCTTAGTAAGTCTGTATGTACAATAAGGTGATAATTAATAMTTTCAAAACTATAATTCCTTATAAAGACAATATCTCTGAAAAACTACTGTCATAGCTACTTTTAAGTCTGTGAACAAAGATGACTGCTCAAATGTCTTTGAAAACAGTGCCAAATTATAATCTTGCCCTGTTAGTAGGGTTCTGTGTCCAGACTGTTGTTATCCACTGCCCAAACACATGCTTTTATTCTCTTGCTACACTCACAGTACTATTCAAAATTGAGGAAGATTTTGGGGTTGGTTTGTTGGGGGGGGGGGGGGGGGTTTGGGTTTTGGGGGGTTTTTTTGTGGGGTTGGGATTTTTTTTTTTTTCTGTTGGTGTTATGGTTGGTTGAATTGGTTTGGGTTTTTTTTCACAAAAAGGGTAGAAGAAGACAACGATGAGTTATTCATCCAACTCTGAGATTCGGTGAATACCAGGACAAAGTTTGGTGGTTCAGAAAATTGAGCACAAATGCCAACAGCTACTTGACCCCTCTGGAAATCAAACCTAGCATCATCTCTGGTTTGGCATTGCAAACCAAAATGCCCAAAGCAAAGGCTGTTATTCTCTATTTCAGTGATTTCTTCAGTGCTTGGAAGCAAGTAGAAAACAAATACTGCAAGTGTTCTCATCTCCAGACCTACTCCCCATTTAAACATAAAACATGGTTGTTTTACCCTCTACAAAATGCATACAGTGTTATCATGTTATTTATTTTAAATGTGCTAGGATTTGTGTATCCAGCATACTGATGATTTTAAGTCAGTATATTATTTTAGTGTTAACTAAAACTGTAGTGGTGATTAAAGTTACATCTGGTTTATGAAGTACATACAAGTGATATTCAACTTTATTTAAAAAATATGGAACAAAAGCACAATTGTTATCCCACAAAGCACATTTTACAGTAAATGAAGAGCAATGTAATTCCCATTAGAATTTGAAACWAAGGTAACTAAAAATGTCACTGATAACAATTCTGTTGTAAAGTGGAAAAAAAAGCACCATATTCTTAAATACAAGCATTTTTACATTCATAAAAATTCAAGGCTTTTCATTTTGGTAGAGCACTTCAAAGAAATACAATTTGTAGTTTAAATTGCATCATAATCATCCTATCTACATTTTAAATGGTCAGCAGCATACAATACAGAAATAATCACTAGAATGTACATATGAGCAAAAAGTTAAGATAGAYATGAACACTAAAGTTTTTTAAAATGATGCACACATAACTGTTTTTAAAGGTATGTAACATATATTTCATGCTTTACTTTCTGGTACCACAAAAGAAAAATCCTTTCCTAAATATTCAAATTCTCATGATCTGAYTCCAACTAAACTTGGTGAAGCTGGATTTCACCTAGCAAAAGGCTTGAAAAAACATACTAAAACAACAGAATTTGTCCAACTGACAATAAAAAAATATATATATACACACGTAATTCTTTGTAATGCATGTTTGCATGTCTATGCACAGAAATCCTTCAATTTTGCTGATGTTGAGTTTGATTTCTAAGGTCAAATGGAAAATAGATCAGCATATGGTAAAGGCATTATAATTAGCTTTGAAAAGGTCCAACTATTAAAAATGCAAAGGTCCTCAAAACATATACCAGAAAGAAATACTAAAGATACAGGAAATGAAAAACAAATACAAAGATCCTATACTATATTAAATACCATCTGCTCTTTCTCTAAAATATATATTTGTTTAACACTGAATAACTTCAGTGCCTTCAGTGAATATACTGCAATTAATACAGACTTCCCAGAGTTTATAGGAAGAATTAAGGCCCGGGAGTATTAAAAAGGTGCTTTTATTTTCTTTTTTATGCACTCAAGTAACACATGCCAGCCTTCCTGTGAATTAAAATCCTACTGTACAAAATGTGCCTCAATGTCAAAGGCCTCGTACCCAATTGCACAGTCCCACACAGATTTCCTGTCATGATTTCACCATCTCAGAATGCTTATGGCACACTGATAGTGGCACTTATTAAAACTTCCATGAAAATAATATGCCTTACATTTCATATAGATATATGCATAAATTTTAGGGGAAAGGTGATTTATCATCTAATAAAATATAGAATACATATTTAAGCTTTACCAATTTTTTGCCTCTAAATTCATTGTATTGTGAAGGTTCTGGATGACACAGTTAAATTCCTACTTAAGTACATAAGCACATACTTCTGTATCACTACTATTGACATTTATTGCTGATAGTTCTTCAACAGCAGGTGACGTAAGTGGCTTTAACACTTGGCAACATTAAGCACAATATAACAGATTTTGGGAATCTTATCAACATTTSTCGTGAAGGAAAAAACATACTATTATTATCAACAAAGTTTTATCCATGATAACAGAAAATGTAATCTAAGTTTTGTCATAAAACTTTCCATTGCAGAATTAGAACTTGAATACCACAGGAAGATCATTTCAGTTAACATAAACTGTTCAGAAATGTTTTATAACTCTTATAGCTCAGAACAAAAATAGTTATTTGTTCTCTGTTAAATATGTTTTGGTTTACTTTCTTAAATCCGACAAGGTAAGAATAATTCCTTTATCTAATGGCATGTCCAGAGTGTACCAACATAAATAAAGTTTAAGAGAATGTTTTCTACAAAGGCTAATAAGCTACCTTCAAAAGTAGATATTTTGTATTAAAACACATCATTACTATTTGCACATAACAATTTACAATATCAACAACTGTGTTAAAAAATAACATTTCAATTCCAATGGACYTGTGCTTTCTACTGATCTTTCAGCAAGTACCGAGATAGACAAATGTCAGRACAAAATCAGCTTTTGTTTCATCCAACCTTCCTGGACAGGGACTAGAATGACATGTCCTTAGCTTCTGCAGAGTCCTGCTAAAGCATCTGGAATTTCAAGACAGTGTGTACAATTTACCATCAATATCTTACTTTTGGCTTGTCTGTTTTCACTCAGCCACTGACTAATAATGATTATATGCACATTTAAATAAGCTTTGCACAGTTGAAGAAACCAAGAGTACCCAATGACTTCCTTTTATGTGGATAGTTCTATCTCATTATGTGCATAGTTCTGGTGCTCCTCCTATCTGTCTTAGCAACAGTCACACAGGTACATTCTATTATTTTTAAAGAATTAATTTCTCTAACAAGGGGGGAGAAACATTCATACAAATGAAAGGGGAAACTGTCAATATACGAAGTGCTGACACATCCATCAGGTGAATAAGTTAGAACATTTATTTCCTTTAGTTCTCTCCAGAGGTCTCAGCTAGCACTAGTTTTAGTCAGAAGCTAATTATATTGACAATATCCCTTAAAAGGAAAATTCCAGTGCAATATAAAAATTATTTCAACCAGGATATCAAAATTGCTATGGGCTACTGTCAGATATATGCAAATGCATAGACAGGTGTGCACACAAACATTCTATATGATGGCCTTGGGAGGGAAAGGAGCCTTCCTTGTACATCACAGAACAGCAGCAGTTTGTGTCTTGGGAGCCTGGCTGGGCTGCTCTGTGGCATCAACAACCATAGCAAAAAGTAAGTCTGTGCTTCCCAAATGCTGAGATGTGTAAGGAATTTGAAGAGCTGTGTTTCACTGTAGGMTGGTAAAGACATCACGCATGAGCTCTACGTGAACACAACTGACTTGCTCTCACAGCAATGGCTTTTTGTGAAGCTGAGGAGTTAAAAAGTCATTTCTAACATTAAAAAGAGTGACCTGTTCTCTGAAAAAGAACAGGAGAGAGACAGAAGCAGCCTAACTAGTTTTAATTTTTTTCTTCTTCAGCTATTATAAAAAGGTGCTTTTCACTGTCAACCAAGATAGCTCTCTTGGCATCTTAAGTTCTTATAACTAACAACAGAAATTAATACTAATGGGTAGCACCAGCAACAGATTGCAACTCTCCATGACAAAGTCCAAGACAGTTTTTGCTCTAGGGAAGAAATTTTTGTAAATATATTCTTGCAAAATTATTTCATATTTTGGAATCATTCATGGGACTTAAATCTACTCCTTGTTGAGAAATATATGAATAATAAATATCTGGGTGCTTTTGACAGGTAGCATGACTTACASTGAAAGAACAGTTTCTATTTTTACCAGCACTAAATTGTTCACCCACACCAATTTGGCTCTTTATATAAATGAGCATTTAGACATCATACCCACATGAATGGATTTGTGGTAGGCTTGGCTCATGAAAAAGTGCTGAACTAACATATGTTTACGACTTAATGAACCACTGAAATACTGTTCTGATAACAGGATACTTTTCCTGAAGCCCAGACCTCTGTTTTTTAGACTTCTCCTTCCATCTGAAAACYGGGATTTTGGGCATTAATCTTTCTTAGGAGAAGCAATGTATAACACTCAGAAATATCAGTTCTGGAACATGATAAAGGAACAAGTATAGGGGAGAAAATTAGTATCAAGGAGGCAAACTGGATGACTGCTACATATAAGTACCAAATTATTTAGTCAGGGATAAAATTCTGGYCCTTCTGAAACCAAAAGCACAAAATTTGCTAAAGCGCATCTGACTGTCACTGTCAATACCATAACCAACACATTATTTCCCAGATACTTTTGGAGAAAATAGAAGAGCTCCTCTTGTATTATTCTGTACACACAGCATCCTTCAAAGAAAAGGCATTCACATAACTAGAAATCTTGAATGCTATTTAGAGGGACTRAAAACCTTTAAAGAAGTATCTTCACTGATTGAGTTCTCCGTGACTACTGATTAGTAGTCATGATTAACAAAGATAAGCAATCACTTATTTTTACATAAACAAACTATCCTCTAATTTTTACAAAGTATCTGATTAATGCAATTACCATTCATTTTGCAAATACTTTCCAGGCCTGTGTAAATGAAATTTATCTCCCATGAGTTATTTTAACAGAAAGAAATTAGATTGTTACCAAAACATGTAACAAAGATAAGGAGAAGCTATAGAAGGCACTTGTGTTCACAGTCCATTGTCAAATACTCAAAACTTCTTGCAGACAGTTCTAAAATTCTTTATATTTGATGATTTCTAGTGATTTTGAATGACACTTCAAACAATGTGTCCAAATTTTTGCTTGTCAAAGGGTACTTTAAAAAAAAATTAAACATTAAATTCCATGCTGTCAGTTCTGAAATTATGAAGTTGGATTAGCAGCTTGTCCAAAATGTCAGTCAGGCCTTGTAGTAAACACTTTCAAGAGGCACAGTGTTGGCAGAAAGCTTCTAAAATTTCAGTCTGCAAGTAAAATCCCAATTGAAGGTTTAAAAGATTGGTGTGTTGGCAATTTAACATTCACTTGTCCTTTCATGTGAAAGAAATTGATCCCTTTCATTTGTATTTTCAGGTTCATCCACTTCTTCTATAGGGTTCTTTTCTTGTAACCCACTATTTTCTGAACAAGAATCGTCATCTCCATTGCTATGACGACCTTCAGCACTGTGTCTGATGCCATAAGAAAAGTAAATGATGAAGCCTTCCAAAAAGAAAAAAAAAAAAGTTCATAGGGTTTTCAGGCAAGCAGTGCACTAAAAAGTAGTTACACCTCTCTAGCTGAACAGGTTTTGCAAAATAATTTTCTTCTTCAGATATCTGAATCAGAGCTCATGCTTCAAGTGTTCCCTGTTTCTGTGGTAAATTCCAGTGCATCATTTTTGCATAATTAACTGCTCTTGTAGATTATGGAAACTACTATCTCTAATTTATGTCTAGATAGAATTAATGCTAACACATGTAGTATGACTGATAGAATTAATTTATGTCTAGATCTAAAAGATGAAGGACTGATACAAGGGAAGAAACCTCTTACAAGCAGGTTTATATAAAATTTTGGCTATACATACCAGGAAAAAAAGTCATGGTATATTGGAATTCCTCTTGTTACTTAAAAGCTTTATTTACAATTTTGACTGCATAGAAATACTTCTTCCGAAGCTTACTCTTCTTTTGATCAGAAATATTAGCTGGCTTTTATTAAAGCACTGAGATTTTTTCAAATATTTGAAGAAAAACTATGTTTTAAGGTGGGATTCATGAATTCTAGTTTATGAAATGACTGAAATGAGCAGAAGTACATACCAAGTGCCATCCAGATGCTAAATCTGATCCAAGTTTCTCCACTTAATTGCACCATCAAGTAAATATTTACCAGTATACTGAATGATGGCAAAAATGGCAATAGTGGAACCTAAAAGGAAATATTTAATATATTTGTGTTAAATATATATTTTTTGCATGTCACATGTCAGTTTTATAACACAAGCTAGAGGTTACAAATGTAATTCCTAATGAAGAATTTAATTTTTTTTGCTCTTGTAATGTAGTGAAATTTTCACTGGGTTTAACCAACAGTTTCTACAGATCTTAAACTTCTAAACATTATGTTTAATATATATTCTCCAAGGCTTTAGAAAAGCTTTCCAGTTTATGCTGAACATATACTAATCAATTCCTGTATTTATAGCTGAAAAACAATATAACTACTCCCTTATACTGAAATGCTTCCCCAGCTCCACCATATTCCTTAACTTTCATCACTATACTTCATTACTTCCATTAAATAGCTTAGAATATAAATGAAAGTGGAAAATGAAAGGACTTATACTTTGTATTGAGGTCCAAAGAATTGCAGAATACACAGACAAGTTATCGTACACTCATCAGTTTCTGAGTTGTTTTCCAGTTTCTAAGTTCTCTCTCCCACTTGTTAGAATCCATCCAACCCACTTGTCAGAATCCATCCAAAGCTCTCATTAGAAAGTAACATAGAGAATAAGTTATTCACCATAAAGGCTACTTTCTGCTGGTTCTGAGGCTGCCTTTGGATGAGGAGAACGGTAACTACAAAGGATACCACCAACAAAGCAAGAAGGCCAATACTCCACGGCTCCAACTTAGCAATAAAATGAATCCCATATGTAATGAGGACACTCAAGCCACAAATCAAGCAAGCTGTATGAAAAACAAAATTACAGACAGAGGGCACTTAATTTCAGAATTGAAGAGGAAGTGACCTTTAAGAAAGTGATAGCTAGCTTCAATATGTACTGTTATCATGAATATGTTTAATTCAGTGATTATAATGCAAATGATTACAGATTAGATCAACCCATCAAGAAGCATAAAAGCACCAAATGACACATTTGGTATGACTGARAGAAGGCATGATATCAGTGGATTTTTAATTCTGTCTTTAATAAAATTCTATTTATGTTAATACAGGTATGAGTTTGGACAGGACTTACCTAAGAGACCCACTAAAAAGTTAACTATATTTGCAGTCTGCTCAGTTGGTAAACTGGATGGATTCATCAAGGCCTGAAGATGGAAGCGATTCTCTTCTATCATGTTTATCCGTGACTCACTTACTGCAGATTCCCTTTCAGCTGCAGCCAAAGCTGCTTTTTCTGGAGAGTATTTTGGTCCCTCATAGGTGGGTTGGTACCTATGCATAAAACAAAGAGAGTAATAAAAAACTATTCAGCATACCTCCAGATTTGAAGCAATATGACTCCAGGACTGTATGTAAGTACTAAATTCTTTTCCGTAGAGATTTAGAATTTCCCAAGTTATAACTGCACTGCAACAGCATTATTAGTCACTCTCATATATAAAATACTACTGCAATTCATTTTTTGGGTGGGTTTGAGAAATTTTTTGGCAGTTTTTTAAGCTACCTGAATGCACCAAAGATCAATCTTGTACAGAAATAAAGGACAGGATCTGGTAGTCAACAGCAAGGAAAGAGTAAGGGAGCTCGTTTCTGACTTGCTTCCCATACTCTAGGAGGCTTCTAAACTGGCATTAACTGAAATTTTACGTCTGCTTTGTTTGCTTTTAAGTGTATTTTAAAAAATGTGTGTGGTAAATAAGATCTTTTGAGGTAAAATAACCTTCTCTTACAAAGTATAAATTTTTGCAACAATGAATTAGAGCCGAATTTAAGCTCTTAATACTTTTCAAAGTTAATTACTTAGCCTTAAGTAATAAAGGCTGACTTTTGTAAAATAGAACATAATAAAGTGAGCTGTAGCTAGCAATATATTATTCCATATGTTTACAAACATGACAGATACTAGTTTTACTGAGAAGTATTTATGGTCTCACTCATTAAGTGATAATAATTCCACTCTCTTCTAGGGCCACCACATCTTGAAACACTTGTCTGGTCTTTCATTTCTGACTAGGACAATGCAAAGCAACCACTTGAACTTGTTAATCACATAAACTGCCTAGAACATCTACACCTTTCCCCAAAATGCAATATGCCTGATGTATAATATAGATTGTATTCATATCAAAATATCATTCACTGAATTCTGTACACAAGCTCATATCTAGTATCTTTGGGACTAATGCTTGGACCAATATTTCTTCTGGAAAATAAAAGGTGTCTGGATTTCAACACAACTTTTGACCTGCCTCACTGCTATAATTATAAAACTATATATCATTGTTTTCTTTGAGGAGTCACTGCTTCTTAGAAACAATTTATATGTTTACAGCTATTGTCTATCTAGAAAAAAAACATGTTTTGTAAATAAGGTTTCTGTTTATTTACTGCCCAACAAGAAAAAAACCACAGCAGAATACAACAGATGTTTTTGGCTCACCTAAGAATGAGGACACAGGTTGCTACAAGYGAATAAGCAAGAAGTGTGCCAATAGACATCATGTCCACTAGAGCCTTTAGGTCAAACAGAAATGCCATTACAGCTAAACAAAAAAGAAGAAAAAAAAAAAA